CAACTGCGCTACCAGGATGGCCCCTCCTGGGCAACGACTGCCTGCCCATGACTCCCAAGCCTTCCCTGATCTGTCAAAACAAAGGGGGAAGGAGATCGAGGAAGGCTTGGTAGTTACGGGCGGATGTTGCGCCGTTGCCCAGTTTTTTTTTAATGGCCTCAGTCCAGTATACCTAAAGGAGCGTCTCCACCCCCATTGTTCTGCCCGGACACTGAGGTCCAGCGCCAAGGGCCTTCTGGCGGTTCCCTCGCTGCGAGAAGCCAAGTTGGGAGCCGCCCAGAGTGACTGGGGAAACCAAGCCAGGTGGGTGGGGTATAAATAATAAATTGTTTGTTTTGTACATTTTCCTTCTACGTGGATTTCCAGACTGCCTCTGCCTATAGGCTCATGGAAGGTGACAGAGGTCCAGGTATCTGGCCTGTTTGCAGGCATGAACATGGACGCACTGCAATCTCGCCAAACACTCCTCTCTCTTTAGCAATTTTATTCTATTTGAGGCATTGAAAGGCCGCAGCCGATTATCCCACAAATGCAGCTTCAGCCCTCTCTCTTCCATGTGGTGGTGAAAGCCGATGTGCCAGAGCTAATTGTGCATGCAGACGCTCTCAGCACCATGTGGAGATGTGCATATGGAACAATAAAACAATATTTTCTGCTTTGCTGCACAAGTGTATCTGCTGCAAGGGCTAGGATTGCCTCCACCACCCATTGCAGAGTCCCAGAAACGCGTAGCGTTTTACATCACGACTCTTCAATAAAATACGACTCTGGAGTCGAGCCTAGAACTAATTTCGGGGCCGATCTGTCCAGAAGGCTTATGTTACTGAGGACTGGATAATGATTCTCCACTGAAAGGCAGCTACTGTTGCTGAAAACTGTAAAGATATTTACAGTTTCAGAGGGCTTGTGCTGGAAATAACACCATCGGTCAGGAAGAGCTAGCGTGGCTCTATTATCCTTGCTCACTGGTCTGACACATCCTGTCCTCTTATGTGTTGAATGAGCAGTGGGGACTGGTGATAGAAGAGGGCCTTTGAATTCCCTGGAAACTGTTCATGTAATGCTGATGCAATCTTGCTGTGGACTGTTTTACTGGCTAATTTGTTTACACCTGGCATTGCTAATTCCGACGCACGTTTTGCTTTGCGGTACAGTGGTACCTCGGGTTACATACGCTTCAGGTTACATACGCTTCAGGTAACAGACTCCGCTAACCCAGAAATAGTGCTTCAGGTTAAGAACTTTGCTTCAGGATGAGAACAGAAATCGTGCTCCGGCGGTGCGGCAGCAGCGGGAGGCCCCATTAGCTAAAGTGGTGCTTCAGGTTAAGAACAGTTTCAGGTTAAGTACGGACCTCCGGAACGAATTAAGTACTTAACCCAAGGTACCACTGTAATTGCCTTACATTTTGGTGGAAGTTTTATTGTTGAGGGTTGACTTACGCCAAACTTTACTAACCTGATGTCCCTTGTTATAAGAAAAAACTGCTCCCTTTCCTTTACGGGGTATTCGGCCCTTATATAGTCCTTAAGTGGATTCCCTATTGATAGGAGAAAATAACAGAGGCCAACCGGAGTATATTGAGAAGCAAAGCGGCTAGTAAGCCTGGTCTTTATTCAAAGAACTGTTGCAACAGGGTCCCCACACACCACACGCAGGAGGGAGAACAATCCTGAACAATGGTGCTACAGTGGTACCTTGGTTCTCAAACATAATTCGTTCCGGAAGTCCATTCCAAAACCAAAGCGTTCCAAAACCAAGGCACGCTTTCCCATAGAAAGTAATGCAAAATGGATTAATCTGTTCCAGACTTTTAAAAAGCAACCCTTAAAACAGCAATTTAACATGGATTTTACTATCTAACGAGCCCATTGATCCATAAAATGAAAGCAATAAACAATGTATTGCAGTCACACAGTCAATCAATCAGTAGCTGAACTGGGTTCCACACAATCACAAAAAAGGAGCCGCAAAAACAAAAATGCAAAATAGATAGCAAAAACAGACAGACCTCAGCATAACTCTCCAAATGGAAGCGTGGCACTCAAAACAGAAGCCTAACCTCAAAACGGAGCACATTCGACTTCCAAAAAAAGTTCGCAAACCGGACTACTTACTTCCGGGTCTGCAGTGTTTGGCTTCCAAGTTGTTTGAGTACCAAGGCATCTGAGAACCAAGGTACAGTACCACTGTAATTTTGATTCTGATAATTGTGTCTGAATCTTACCAGTTAATATTCTTCGTAAGTATAATGATGTAGAGGCTTGCAGTACTTTATTTGTTTTCTGGCTGCACTATTCATTTTATAGATGATCCTCTATTGTCAAGTTAATGTTTACGATTATTAAGAGTGAGAGATTGACTCGAAGTTTTTCCTCCCTTTGCCTGCAGCGCGACTTCGGCACTGAGGGTGCATCTATGCAATAATGAATGATACCTGCGCCCTCATCTTTCTTAGACAGGGAACCGGCTATCTATATAACTGAAGTTAAAATGTGTTCTGGCTTGTATTCTCAACTTTTGCAAAACTGTCGCGCCAGGCCTGGGTTAATTTGTATTGGCAGATAAAAGGTTTTTAGAGCACAAAGACAGATGTTGCAAATCTGGGGTTGTTGTTTTCTTCCAAGCATCTTTTTTTAAAAATGGAAGAGCAAAAATCCTTTGTGGAAATTAGAAGAGTATCTCCTGTTCATCTTGTATCAGAAAGCTATTGAAATATACTCGAAGTTGAGAGTGGATTTCATGCTCTTTATTCAGCTCATAGTGGTGAGGAGGAATGGAAGTTTCCCCAGAATGTCTGCTTTATATACATTATTTACACAATGGGCCCCACGTGATTGGCTAATTCTGGGATTCTCCTGTAGGCCAATCAGGTTGCAGATTCACTTCCACCTGGAGCTGGATTGGGTGGCTCCTGTGGACCAATCAGACGGCTGCATTCTGGAGCCTATTGTTCTAGGACCAATCGGACTGCTGCATTCTGAATCCTATTGTTCTAGGACCAATCAGACTGCTGCATTCTGAATCCTATCATTCTAGGACCAATCAGACTGCTGCATTTTGGATCCTATTCAACTCAGTACATAACAGCTATAGATTTTGGAGCTTTAAAAAAGTAAAAGGGGGTGGGGAAGAACAGCTTGCTTGTATCATCAGGCCTAAAGCCTGTGGAAGTCAGCTGAAGGGCTGTTTCCATACTTAGAGAAGCATTGCCATCCTGCAATCAAATTGTGGTCTTATCCTGTTCTGAAGCGCATTTTATTATGAGGGGTGTATGTTTTTTTATACCCACAGCATGCATCCATATGCAGAACAGACACTTAAGGAGGAGCCTGCTACTTCCAGTGCTGGTTATAAAAATAATGAGAAGCTGGATTTTATTGGTGTAAATATTTGGTTCCTTTCAAGCTGATAATAATAATATAATAATAATAATTTATTATTTATACCCCGCCCATCTGGCTGGGTTTCCCCAGCCACTCTGGGCGGCTTCCAACAGAACACTAAAATACAATAACCTATTAAGCATTAAAAGCTTCCCTAAAGAGGGATGCCTTCAGATGTCTTCTCAGGGTTTGGTAGTTGTTTTTCTCTTTGACATCTGGTGGGAGGGCGTTCCACAGGGCGGGTGCCACTACCGAGAAGGCCCTCTGCCTGGTTCCCTGTAACTTGGCTTCTTGCAGCGAGGGAACCGCCAGAAGGGGAGTTAATGTTCAACTCTGATGGTTTTGAGATGCTGATATTTGCAGACCCTCCAAGTGTCCCTATTTTCCAGAGATGTCCCTGATTTAGAGAAGCCGTCCCGGTTTCTGATTTGATCCCAGACTGTCCAACTTTCCCTTAGGATGTCTCTATTTTCTTTGGAGAAATGTTGGAGGGTATGGAATTAAGCAATCCCCGAGCCGTCTGAAGGCAATCCTGTATAGGGAAGTTTCTAAAAAAAGTTTTATGTATGTTGGAAGCTGCCCAGAGTGGCTGGGGCAACCCGGTAAGATGTGTGGGGTATAAATAGGAAAATTTTCTTATAATGCATCCATATATCCAAGAAGAGAGTTGCATGCAATAAAATGCAGTATGACAAAATTGGTGGAGGATTTTGATGGCGCAGGAGACCTCCAGAATGCGGCAGCTAGACTGGTGACTGGGAGTGGCCGCCAGGACCACATAACACCTGTCCTGAGAGATCTGCATTGGCTCCCAGTACGTTTCCGAGCACAATTCAAAGTGTTGGTGCTGACCTTTAAAGCTCTAAACGGCCTTGGTCCTGTATACCTGAAGGAGAGTCTCCACCCCCATCGTTCAGCCCAGACACTGAGATCCAGCACCGAGGGCCTTCTGGTGGTTCCCTCACTGCGAGAAGTGAGGTTACAGGGAACCAGGCAGAGGGCCTTCTCGGCAGTGGCGCCTGCCCTGTGGAACGCCCTCCCTTCAGATGTGAAGGAAATAAGCAGCTATCTTCTTTTTAAAAGACATCTGAAGGCAGCCCTGTTTAGGGAAGTTTTTAATATTTAATGCTGTATTGTTTTTAGCACTTGATTGGAAGCTGCCCAGAGTGGCTGGGGAAACTCAGCCAGATGGGCAGGCTATAAATAATAAATTATTATTATTATTATTATTATTATTATTATTATTATTCAGTGGTCAAGCTGCAGGAACACAAGGTTGTGGAAGAGAGTATGTTCTTCCAAGTCAAGAACTTAGCATCTGTGTTGGGAAACGAATGGGCTGGACAGTGAGATGTAGCTTACAATAGAATCCCAAATTAGAAGTTATAAAGGCTTCTAAATGTCAATGGCTGCAGGGATTGGAGCTGAAGCCTAGATGTCGCCACAATTTAGCTTCCAGACTTGGCAACCCCCCCTTAATTAACATAGTTTTCCTCATGACAGCCTCTGAGGCAAGGAGAGTTGCTTATGTGAAGCTAACCTGGTAATATTTTGCTTTAACCATTTCCTTTCCGCAGGAAGCCACTCTATGGATTGTTTCAGTATAATCAGAATATGATTGGGCTGGAATCGTTACCCGATCCCTCAGATACCTGGGAAATTATTGAGACCATTGGAAAGGGAACGTATGGGAAAGTCTATAAAGTTACTCATAAGAAGGATGGCAGTTTGGCAGCAGTGAAGATTCTGGATCCGATCAGTGTAAGTAAAGAGGAAAGTTAACAATTTGATTTCCCTTTCCGCCTCCAAACAGATCCAAGACCCCCTGCACAAACAGATGTGATACCCATACTCAGTAATTAGAGGAAATGCAAGTATTTGGGGGGTAATTGTTCAGGTGTACAAAAATCACATTATGACAGAAAGTAAGGGAGGTAGTACGGGGATGCGGGTGGTGCTGTGGGTTAAACCACAGAGCCTAGGACTTGCCGATCAGAAGGTCGACGGTTCGAATCCCCGCGACGGGGGGAGCTCCCGTTGCTCGGTCCCTGCTCCTGCCCACCTAGCAGTTCGAAAGCACGTCAGAGTGCAAGTAGATAAATAGGTACCACTCCAGCGGGAAGGTAAACGGCGTTTCCGTGCGCTGCTCTGGTTCGCCAGAAGCAGCTTAGTCATGCTGGCCACATGACCTGGAAGCTGTACGCCGGCTCCCTCAGCCAATAAAGCAAGATGAGTGCCCCAACCCCAGAGTCGTCCGTGACTGGACCAAACAGTCAGGGGTCCCTTTACCTTTTTTAAAGGGAGATAGCTGTTCCAACTTTGCATTTAACCCCAACTGAACTCAGGCGCTTTTGTTTGTGTGCAAAGGTTGGACTTCTGTCCGTGCTGGGATCTCGCACTTTGTTTGTTACTGAAAACTAAACTGGGTTCACAAATCGCATGAGCCTCTGCAGTGGCAAGGCTTAAGAAGTCAACTCTGAAGATAGGTGGAGTTCTCAGGTTTCAACATATTGCAGCAAAAGACCCATAATCTTTCTCAATACGCCACAAGTATCTAGGTTTGGTACCGTTTGTGTGTGGGACATGCATAGGTAATGTTGTTGTTGTTTTTTTTTAAAAGGAGATACACAGGTAATTTGTTTTTTAATGGAAAAATAGTTATCTGAGAAAATTAGAGTCAAGTGAAATGATTTGTAAATGAAACCTAAATGGTTTGAGGAAAAGTAGAGTTTATGGGAATAAGGTAAAAAAAAAAAAGGAGGTAAAAGACTCTTGGACGGTTAAGTCCAGTTAAATTTGACTATGGGGTGCGGCACTCATCTTCGCTTTCAAGCCGAGGGAGCTGGCGTTTGTCCACAGACAGCTTTCCAGGTCATGTGGCCAGCATCACTAAACCTCTTCTGGTGCAACGGAACACCATAATGGAAGCCAGAGCTCACAGAAACGCTGTTTACCTTCCCGCCACAGTGGTACCTATTTATCTACTTGCACTGGTGTGCTTTTGAACTGCTGGGCTGGCAGGAGCTGGGACAGAGCAACGGGAGCTCACCCCGTCACGGGGATTCGAACCACCGACCTTCTGATCGGCAAGCCCAGGAGGCTCAGTGGTTTAGACCACAGCACCACCCGCGTGGCAGAGTTTATGGGAATAAGAGCCCAATCTGAAACATCAGAAGGAAGTTTCATTGCATTCAATGAAATTTATTACCTAACAGGTCTTCTTAAGTATGTAGGCAGGCAGAGCAGTTGTATTTTACCTTAACAGGTGAGTGAGGAGATTTGCTGGCAATGCAACCATTACACCCTGCTATGAGCAGGCCAAGAGGTAGGGGCGTCTTTTCCTTTTACCTTCCCATTGACTGCAGCAGGAGGTTATTAACCACGGGTCCCTTCCTGGTGTGTGTTGGCATCTCTGTGTCTGCGCCCATTGCCCCCGACACACAGCCTCCCCCTTACTCTGCTAGCACAATATCCCTGGAAGATGAGCTATCACTGGAACAAGCTTCCCATTGGAGGGCTAGGGGATTTCCATTGGCCTAAGAATTGCCCCAGTGACATACTCCCCATATCTACTAGTAGAGCTTCCCAAGGCCCCTCAGCATACCTCTCCTGGGATGTCCCACGGAGGACCTTACGGTCTTAAAAACATCTTGGAGATCCCGGGCCACAGGGAGGTTAGGCTGGCCTCAACCAGAGCCAGGGCTTTTTCGGCTGTGGCCCCGACTTGGTGGAACGCTCTGTCACAAGAGACTAGGGCCCTGCGGGACTTGACATCTTTCCGCAGGGCCTGCAAGACGGAGCTGTTCTGCCAGGCCTTTGGCCAAGGCACAGTCTGACCCCCTCTCTCCTTCTGTAATCTTCATAGAACTCTAGCCCAATGGTTGCCATTAATTTGATTCTGTTTTCTTTTTTCTTTTTTTAAATATTTTTTTTATTAAGGTTTTAAACAAAGAAAAAAGAAAAACAACACACACACAAAAAAATACAAAATTTAACAATAAAAACACAAAACATAACAATTAAAAACAAACTCTCTTTTCCATTCCCAATTTTAAATTACTTATTTTCTGGACTTCCTCATACCTCCCTCTTTTGTATTCCAATCTGCATTATTTGTCCAGCAGTTTCTTTTCCACTTTTTAAACCCAATCTTTAATTTAATAAAATATTAAAATATATAACTTCAACTTTTTTAAACATAATCCTTGTTCTTAAGGTCATATACCTTTAAATTTTTCCCTTTTATTATCAAATTTCCATTTCTTTAAACATCTTTAATCTTGATCTTTAATCTTAATCTATCCTTAACTTTAACCTATACAGCTGGAAACCACTTATTTTCAATCCAACATCACTCTAACATTCCTTAATTTTGCAGTGTTTCTGAAGATAGTCTTTGAATTTCTTCCAGTCTTCCTCCATCGACTCTTCTCCCTGGTCACGGATTCTGCCAGTCATTTCCGCCAATTCCATATAGTCCATAAGTTTCATCTGCCATTCCTCCAGCGTGGGAAGTTCTTGTGTCTTCCAATACTTTGCGATGAGTATTCTTGCTGCTGTTGTTGCATACATAAAGAAAGTTCTATCCTTTTTAACACCATTTGGCCCACTATGCCCAGGAGAAAGGCCTCTGGTTTCTTGGGGAAGGTATACTTAAATACCTTTTTAATTCATTATATATCATTTCCCAGAAAGCCTTAATCTTTGGGCACGTCCACCAAAGGTGAAAAAATGTACCTTCAGTTTCTTTACATTTCCAACATTTGTTATCGGGCAAGTGATAGATTTTCGCAAGCTTGACTGGGGTTATGTACCACCTGTATATCATTTTCATAATATTCTCTCTTAAGGCATTACATGCCGTAAATTTCATACCAGTGGTCCATAACTGTTCCCAGTCAGCAAACATAATGTTATGTCCTACGTCCTGTGCCCATTTAATCATAGCCGATTTTACCGTTTCATCTTGAGTATTCCATTTCAGCAGCAAGTTATACATTCTTGACAGATTCTTAGTATTGGGTTCTAACAATTCTGTTTCTAATTTTGATTTTTCCACCTGGAAGCCAATTTTCCTGTGCCATTAATTTGATTCTGAACTGATTTTAGAATGTATTTCAATTAATTGATTGTGATTTTATGTAAACTGTGCTATTTTTACTGTTGTTAGCCGCTCTGAGCCGGGCCTTGGCTGGGGAGAGCGGGATATAAATAAATTATTATTATTATCACCCCTTTAATATTTTTAATGCTGCCCCAAAGCCATGGTTACGTGACTGCTGTTCAGTCTCTAGGTTTGTTATGTCATGTAATCCACCCCTAATAAAGCTGTTATATTTGTAAAGTGCCCGTCTCTGTGTGCCTCCAATTTAGGATGTGGATGAAGAAATTGAAGCAGAATACAACATCTTGCAATTCCTTCCAAATCACCCCAACGTTGTTAAATTCTATGGAATGTTTTACAAAGCAGATCAATATGTGGGCGGACAGCTGTGGCTTGTTCTTGAGGTAAGATATTTTGTGAGACTAAATCTTAATTAAAAGAGATTTTTTACGAGCTAACTGCTTCTTCCAAAAATGTAGAAGCAGAAATACTGGCCGACCGTTATTCTCTGAAGAATTCTGTCTCTTTCTGCTCGTGGTTATTAATCGGAGGGTTCCTTTGGGAAGGAAATGCAGCACCAGATGTCCCGTCTACTTAGCATTTACACTGTACATTTACAAATGCATATTTCTGAACTGAAGTGGGCCACTTCAGAAGGAATCTGGCTTCATCCAAATTTAGGTGGATGGGAAGTTGATCCATACTCATTTGGGCTGTTCAGTCAGCATATTTGAGAAAATATATACTTCTCTCAACCTCTCCAAATGAAGAAGACCCCTGTGAGGGAGAAGTGAGAGAGGAAGGGGTACAGTTTTGTGACGGACAAATATAGCTTTTAACCACAGGGAATCATTCTGCAAGGGCTCTCCGATCACAGTACTTTGGGGAGGGGCACTGAAGGAATATATTCAAGCAAAGCAACCTCTGTTGTGTACTCCATTTTCACACATGTCAAGGAAGTTTTTTTTACTTAGATGGCAGCAATAATGTCCTCTGGCTGCCTGTCCCTGGAGTGCAGAACCTTTGGGTCCCCCCCCCCAAAAAAACCCCCCACCCCAACACCTACTGTTTTACTAGCTTTGAACACAACGAAGGACTCCCTTATGCCTTTCATACTGGTTGTAACGCTGATCTGAAATGGTCGAGTGGCACATTCTCCACTGAAAATTCAAAACAAAACTTCATTGTGCAATTTCTAATGCCCAGGTTTTGGAAGCTACTATTTGTCTCATGTGTGGGCTATGAAGTTATTGGGTGAGAATTTGAAGGAGGACACAGTTTGAAGGACGCCACTGAACCACAACAACTGCCTTTCCTAAACTCTAAGCTCATTCCATTCTAAGCTTATTAGCTTTCCTAAGCTCATTCCATTCTTTCAATTGATCCGACCGGCAGTTAAATCATACAGCGTCATGTTTCTTGGGATGTCATCCTCTCAAGACATACTGGGTGTTGGTTCCTGATCAGGTTGTAGCCTTATAGGGAAGAAGCATGCAAAAGCAAAGGAAGGTTTGGGTGGCGAGAGTTGTTGAAAGGAGTGCCACCTGCGGGTGCCATCTACAGTGTTCTCCAGACCCTTCTCATTTTGCTTTGCAGTAAGTGTCATCCAAAGCTAGACTGCAGACTCGGGGTGGCTGAAAAATCCATTTTGGGGTGGAGGTAGCTTCCAAGAGGGAAACTCTCAGTGTGCCAAACCATGATCAGTGAAGATGATTTCCTAGTTTCCTTTATAGGGCCCAGACAGCATTGGAAAAATAGGGCTGAGAGGAGAGGGTTTGGTTGACACTTTCTCCTAGCTGAAATGGCCACTCCAAGCTCCAATTTGACCTCAGTATGATTTTGTTCACGAGACAGGTAGTAGCTTTGAAGAGTGATTTAGATCACGAGTGGACAGGTTCAGACTCTCCAAGTATCTCTCTTTTCCAGGGACGTCCCTGATTTAGAGAAGCCATCCTGGTTTCTGATTTGATCCCGGAATGTCCCACTTTTCCTGTTTTCATCAGAGAAATGTTGGCGGGTATGCAGACTTCAGGCCTGTCGGATCTACTTTGTGGGTTGTTGTTGTTTTACTGGAGCCCACAAATCTTCTGAACAGAGCCACGCGGCAAAAGAATTTATGAACAGGGGGCTTTGGATCATGTTTGGGGATTAGGGATTTGATTTATTTTCAGTACCAGAATTGAACTGAGCTCAGAAAATTTTCATGCAGATGCCCACTCTTGCATAAGTGTCCTTCATTTCTGCAGCCCAGTTCGAGTGGGGAAAGTTGATTTGCTGTTATTGTTAAACAACTGGGATTCAGGAACCATTTCCTATCTATTACAAATCAACCAGAGATCTGCCAGGAGATCCCTGAGCTACCACTTGCCCACCCCCGATTTCAATCAGGAAAGCAGAAAGGGTCAAAACATCCCCTCCTCCAGGGACTGATTTCCTGACTGTATTGCTGCTTTGCTTATTGATAAAATTCCAAACCCTGCAGGAGCCCCTGTTGATGCATCTACTGAATCACATCCACTTTGCCCTTCAGAATAATTCACTCGTGGTTTCACCCCCTCTGGATTGCAGTCATCAAACTGCAGGCGGGGAGAAAGTTAGCAAAATGTTAGCATTATTGACCCAACTGAAATACCCTGCACTTCAGGATTTGCATACCAATTTTGTCTCTGTTGTGCTGCAATTGCTATTTATAACACTTGAATTCAATGAAAGGAACGCCATACAAAAGGGCTCAAATGCTTTTGTTGCTGTTTCTTTGATGAAATCATATATTCTTTGTGTTGTGGCAAACTTCTGGGGGTGAAAATGTAATTAAAAGTTCTTATTTCCCCTCGGGGCATCTTCGTTCTGCCAGGCTTATACTCTGTGAGCAATACCTTTCTCACTCAGAGCTCCTTTGAACACTTGGACCTGTCATGACTAAAGTGTTATTATTACCTCAACGTGAGGGGAGGAAAAAGGAACTCCTGCAGCCCTGTTCACTTATTTACAAAAGCGAGCACCACACACACACACACACACCAACCCCTCGCCTCCCCCTGGCCTCATGCACCAACTTTCTCAACCTCCCTCAACATGGCTACATCCAGATATTTCGGATTTCAGGTCTCATGATCCCAAGTCACTGCAAACCCTCCAAGTGTCCCTATTTTCCAGGGATGTCCCTGATTTAGAGAAGCTGTCCCGGTTTCTGATTTGATCCCAGAATGCCCTGCTTTTCCTTAGGATGTCCCAATATTCATTGGAGAAATGTTGTGGGGTATGGAGTTATCTGACCCTCAAGCTGCCTGAAGGCAATCCTGCATAGGCAGGTTTGTTTAATGTTTAATGTTTTATTGTGTTCTTATAGATGTTGGAAGCTGCCCAGAGTGGCTGGGGCAGCCCAGTAGGATGTGTGGGGTATAAATAGGAAAATTATCATTCTAGAATGGGACCGCCTTGTTTTCAATGGAGAAATGTTGGAGGGTATGTCATTGGCCATGCTGGTTGGTGCTGATGGGTCTCCAGCTGTTATTGGACTACATCTCCCATCATTCCCAGATACCAGTGTGATGGCTTGTGAATGTTCTTCACAAGAAGCACCTCTGCTCACTCAGAGATACATATATACAGTCTTTATTTTACAGCGCATTAGAATCATGCATCTGAATCCTCCGGTTCAGATTGTGGGAATGGCTTACGCCGGCCTCTTCTCCAGCAGAAAAAGCGGGGAAGTTTCACGTGATGCCTCTCCCCCCTCCTCTTTAACTCTCTCCTTTCCCTGGCAGACGGAATAGGCATTGTTTCACTGTCTGTGCCAGAACTTCCTGTGCGGTGCTGAGGCTCTGGTTCAGCATCTGAGAGCCGTCCCGCCTCCTGGCTTTCCCCTCTTTCCTCAATTGCCACTTCCTGCCCACCTCCCTCTGCCTGTTCCTGCTCCTCCCCTGCATTCTCTGGCAGTACCATGACAACCAGGACCAGTGTCCAAGGATGGTGGGAACTGTAGTTCAAAAACAGCTGCCGTCCCAAGTTTGGGAAACCTTGATCTAGAGGGCCTAAGGTTGAGGAAGGCCACTTTGTACTGTGAGGCCACAAGCCTGTCTTTTTCTAACCCCAGTATGAGGAACCAAAACAGAAGCAAAGAAACATCCACAACTGTACCTCTCATGCCATAGTACATGTTCCTAGGCCACTCATGTTGAGAGCCAGTGTGGTGTAGTGGTTAAGAGCGGTAGTCTCGTAATCTGGTGAACCAGGTTCGCTTCCCCGCTCCTCCACATGCAGCTGCTGGGTGACCTTGGGCCAGTCACACTTCTCTGAAGTCTCTTAGCCCCACTCACCTCACAGAGTGTTTGTTGTGGGGGAGGAAGGGAAAGGAGAATGTTAGCCGCTTTGAGACTCCTTCCAGTAGTGATAAAGCGGGATATCAAATCCAAACACCTTTTCTTCTTCTTGAGCTCACACCTCATCTTAATAGGGTTGTTATGGATCTAAACAGCAAACATACGGTGGTCAGATGTGCTTTGAGGAGATATACTGGTCCGTCTAGAACTATAGTTGAGATTTTCTACTGGTGAATGCAATAGAAAAAAAGACACCAGGGTGATAGCAAAATAGCTACTGGAGAGGCATGAGTGATGAACTAATGATGTGGGCAAAAATCCATTTAGAAAGGTTTTAATTTTACTTTTTCTCTCGCCGTTTTAGTATGTGGAAAACTATAGATGGGGGAAATGTTTGCAAGAAGCTGAGCTTTTCTGGATTCTGAATGTTTCATCTCGGTTGTTGGCAGAATGCGCCATCAAGCCCGAGTATAGAGATATGTCTGCCATCTATTTTATATTGCCTGCCAGCAGGAGTATTGATGGAGTGAAGGTGTGAAATGACTGTAATTTGTTGCCTCCCAGTTATCAAGTCTATCAATCTTGTCCCTTAAACACACACACACACACACACACACACACACACACACACACCCCTCTCCTGGATTTTCCTTCACACAAAAGGCACTTTTAGAAAAGATACGTTAGTATAAAAGTATACCACTTCTGATACACACACACAATATTTTAAAACAGAGATGAATCCCATTAAAAACAACAACACTCAATTCAGTTTAGCTGGTGGGACGCAGATGGCGCTGTGGGTTAAACCACAGAGCCTAGGACTTGCCGATCAGAAGTTCGGCGGTTCGAATCCCCACGACGGGGTGAGCTCCCATTGCTCGGTCCCTGCTCCTGCCCACCTAGCAGTTCGAAAGCATGTCAAAGTGCAAGTAGATAAATAGGTACAACTCTGGCAGGAAGGTAAACGGCATTTCTGTGCACTGCTCTGGTTCGCCAGAAGTGGCTTAGTCATGCAGGCCACATGACCCAGAAGCTGTACTCCGGCTCCCTTGGCCAGTAAAGCGAGATGAGCACCACAACCCCAGAGTCGGTCATGACTGGAACTAATGGTCAGGGGTCCCTTCCTTTTAACTTTGGGCAAGGACCAGAGCTCAGTGGTAGAGAACAAGATGTGTTGTGTGGAGGAGGTCTCACGTTCGGTCCCCCACCTCTCCAAGTGTCACAGAAGCATGCCGGTCAGTAATCGCAGAATTCAAAGTTGGAGTTAACTCCTTATTAGCAAAAAAAACCCCATGATCTCCACAGACTTGGTTCAATGTCAGGCCTAATGAGCAGCTTGTTCTTGGTGGTCTTATTCCATGAAAAGCAGTTGCCGAGACTGAAAGTCCCCATCTCCACACAGCTGTCCAAGTCCCCTCCTCTCCAGGGCTTTCCCCAAGCAACCGGAGGCTACGCCCGTGTGCAGTCTGTCCCTGCTCCACCCTCTTCATGCCTCTTCTGGTTCTGGGAGACGAAGAGGGAGGGGAGCTTGTCGCAGTAGGAGGAGGAGACACCTGTGACTCTTCACCAGCCCGACTCTTCTCTGCCTCTTGGCCTCCCTCTCTCCACTCACCTTCAGCTTCTGCCTCTGATTCTGACCTGCCACAGACTCTTCCCCACTCACTAAACCCTGTTACATCTTCAGCTTCTGACACCTCGTACTCCCAGTCTTCTCTCTCTTCATCACTACTCCCTGTTTTATTCAAGTCTTCTTCCCTTGGGGGTTCTCCAGCTGGTTCCTCTCACCATTCCTCTGTGTCCAACCCGTCCATGAAACCTGGAAAAGAAAGACAGGAAGACCCTCTGCTTGAGACCCTGGAGAGCTGCCTGTCAGAGTAGAGCAGGCATAGGCAAACTCGGCCCTCCATATGTTTTGGGACTACAACTCCCAAGATCCCTAGCTAACAGGACCAGTGGTCAGGGATGATGGGAACTGTAGTCCCAAAACATGGAGGGCCGAGTTTGCCTATGCCTGAGCTAGAGGGACAAATAGTCTAACCTAGTATAATGCAGCTTCCAGTTCTCTTATGTTTTCAGATTCCTAATTTTTCCACCTATTTTGCCAGGCCTAAGGGCTGGTGACTGATCAGACCCTCTGGGCCTTTTACATTAACAACAAGTATCAAAGTTAGATGACTTCGAAATGTCACTTGAAGCAGGAACCTATCTATTATAAGCCATCCTAGTCCCTAACATGGATGTTGGAACCCAATGGTTTAAGGGAACCTTAGGGTCTCATTCTGATCCTCAGTACATTGACCCTTTAAAGTGAATGGAAGGAAGGCAATGAAGAAGGAATAGTTCGGTCGGCAGAGTGTGAGACTCTCAATCTCGAGGTCATGGGTTATAGCCCCACGTTGGGCAAAAGATTCTTGGATTGCAGGGGTTTGGACTTGATGACCCCTGAAGTGTAGGTGGGTTCCCACAAGGCAAGACACAGTGATAACAGAACTAACAGAACTGGACAACAGGGGCAAAGCAAGTGCTTTTATACGTTTCTGAAGGCCTGGGCCACTCCCACTCTCAACACGATTGGCTGTCTAAACTTCGAATCATGACTCAGAGTTTAAGGGCCAATGGCAGAGGCCCAAATCCTGAAACGTTTTGTGATTGGATATCATGTATTAAATCAGAACACAGGGGCTCAGAATCCTTAGTCCAGACTCAAGCTCAGGCAAAAACTGGCCATTGAATACATAACAACCCACGTGGTCCCTTCCAACTCTACAATTCTATGATTTTGCAGTGGGATTTGCTTCCCTCCTGAAATGAATGAAGAAGACTTTATGTCTAGGGGAGCTGCATTTATCCATGGAGGCACTGTACTCATTAGTAACCTTGTGATGATGACGAAGCCTTTGACCCTTGAGATGTATATTTTAGGACCCACCCCACTCTCTTATTCTAATGTATTTTAACTGTTTTTAATACTGTGTTTTTAAAATGGCCATAACTCGCCCTGGGACCTCATGGTGAAGAGCAGGAAAGAAATTAAACCAGTAAATAACAGGTCACGAGCATCCTTGATTTCATCTATGTGAAGCAATGCTCTGTGCAGGCATTTGGAAAAGCTGCCACATGTTTCCCATTCCTGAGAATGGGAAGCCAATGAAGTTCACAGGCTTCTGAATTGTGGCTTCTGTTTGGAAAGGGAAGTGTCATGGGAATCAAGAGGGCCTAGTTTCATCTTCATGAGCTTACAGCCCAGCGTCGAATCTCTTGTGTGTATATATTGTTACTTGATCCATGAAAGCAGAGATCTGCAAGCTAAACAGTCCTGTTGAGTGACTAACAGGGGGTCTTGCTCTGCTTCTCTTTCCCCTCTTCCGCCCCCTTTTTGCAGCTGTGCAATGGAGGTTCTGTCACAGACCTTGTCAAAGGCTTGCTGAAGTGTGGCCAGCAGTTGGATGAAGCTATAATCTCGTACATCTTATACGGCGCTCTCCTGGTAAGGATGTTCATTAAGCTTCTAATGACAGCAGAGGGTGCAATTTACTCCCTGATGACATTTTCTATTTATAAATGATGGCGCGGCTGACAGTAAAACGCGGATTTTGTTATAGCAGCAACGGGGGGCTGTTTGCAGGATGTGATGCATCGAACAGTGTGCATGCAGATTGTTTTGATTGCCCTCCCTAAAATTAGGGAAATTACATTTCAAAACGGGAGTTAGCATCTTCTCTCTCTCTCCCCTCCCCTTCTCCTCCTCCTCCTCCTCCTCTTTTTTTTTTTTTGCACCAGGGTCTTCAGCACTTACACAACAACCGGATCATTCACCGTGATGTCAAGGGGAACAACATTCTCCTGACGACAGAAGGAGGAGTCAAGCTTGTTGACTTTGGTAATGAACAGCTTCTTTCTTTAGACCAGGGTGTCTGGGTTTTTTGACTGCATGGGAAAGCAGAGAAGTCTCTTCACCTGAGTGTTCTTTCGGGGAGGAATCTTGAAATGAGAAGGCAAAAAATGCACGAACATAGCAATGCTAGGGAAGGGGTCGTAGCTCAGAGGCAGCAGAGCTCACGCTTTGCAGGCAAGAGCGCCCAGCTTCAATACCTGGAATCTCCAGGTAGGCCTCGTTTGAAATCCTGGAGCTGCCACCCAAAGGTCTGCTCACTATAAGTGAAATATACTCGAAGTCGAGAGTGGATTTCATGCTCTTTATTCAGCTCATAGTGGTGAGGAGGAATGGAAGTTCCCCCAGAAAGTCTGCTTTATATACATTATTTACACAATGGGCCCCACGTGATTGGCTAATTCTGGGATTCTCCTGTAGGCCAATCAGGTCGCGGATTCACTTCCACCTGGAGCTGGATTGGGTGGCTCCTGTGGACAAGTCAGATTGCTGCATTCTGGAGCCTATTGTTCTAGGACCAATCAGGCTGCTGCATTCTGAATCCTATTGTTCTAGGACCAATCAGACTGCTGCATTTTGGATCCTATTCAACTCAGCACATAACAATAAGGCAGCCTCCTGTTTTCTCAGGTATGGGGGAAAGGAGGAAGAAGCTTCTAATCTATCTGGTTCCTCTCAGGAAGCCTGAGCAGCAATCAGGTCAAACAAGCTGGAGGGTGGAGCTGGTGAAATAATACAAGCTCCCAGCCTCCCCCCGGGGGCTTATAAGTCTTGGATGGAGTCATGGGAGGGAGAAGGCAGAGGAGAAGCTTGGAGAAAGCAGAAGCTGCTGTTTGAGGGAGGAACCAGCCAGATCACTCCTGTGCTGATGGGAAGGGTAAATTGGGGGCGTTTTCTCTCCCCGCGGAGTCCAGCTATTTCCATCTGGCAGAAAGATAGCAGAACTGCCTCCCCAAACATTTGTTGTTGTTTAGTCGTGTCCGACTCTTCGTGACCCCATGGACCAGAGTACGCCAGGCCCTCCTGTCTTCCACTGCCTCCCACAGTTTGGTCAAACTCATGTTTGTAGCTTCGAGAACACTGTCCAACCATCTCGTCCTCTGTCGTCCCCTTCTCCTTGTGCCCTCCATCTTTCCCAACGTCAGGGTCTTTTCCAGGGAGTCTTCTCTTCTCATGAGGTGGCCAAGGAATTGGAGCCTCAGCTTCACGATCTGTCCTTCCAGTGAGCACTCAGGGCTGATTTCCTTCAGAATGGAGAGGTTTGATCTTCTTGCAGTCCATGGGACTCTCAAGAGTCTCCTCCAGCACCATAATTCAAAAGCATCCATTCTTTGGCGATCAGCCTTCTTTATGGTCCAGCTCTCACTTCCATACATCACTACTGGGAAAACCGTAGCTTTAACTATACGGATCTTTGTTAGCAAGGTGATATCTCTGCTTTTTAAGATGCTGTCTATTACCTGCTTCTGGAACCCCCAGAAATTTCAAAACAGTATGGAAGGAAGAGAGGGAAAACTCTGGTCCTGATCCGATTGTACGTAAAGCACACCAGCTGTGGCTATGTGCCCATATCTTGCTCAATTAATTGTCAATAGTAACACCCAGGTTTTTTGTGTCGGTGGTGGGATCAGGACTCCCACCAGTTACCTGATTTGGGCTATCTATATGTGGGCAGCCCTGGCAATCGAATCAGGCCAGGAAACTTCCATGCTTCTCCCTCATGCTGCTTGCTAGATCAGAGCATTTGTTCACACAAATAATATTGGGGAGAGGCTCTTTTCCCCCAGTGCGGCGAAGGCAAAGAGGAAATCTCTAGATTTTAAATATTATCTTTTCCATATGAAAAGAAGGCACTGTTCTTTCTAAAACAGTTTTGACTAGCCTTTAGCATATTTATTCACTCTCGGCAGAAGCTGAAGTGGTCCTCTGGGTCCAAAAGCTAACAGATCCATTTAATTTGCAATTACAGCTGTAAGATATGAGTGTGACTGAAAATTGGAAGCCTCCATAAAAGGATGAAAGAGAGACGGGAAGAAGTGGGTTTTGCAGCAGACTTCTGAATAAGCTTGCTGATTTCTTGAGGAGGATGCTAATTCAAGTAATAACGATAGCAATAATAAAAAGAGACGAGATAGATGTGACTCACGCAGCCAAGTTTTATGTCTTCAAAAACGGGGTCAGCACATTGCGTCTTCCTCCCATCACCCCATACAGTGGTACCTCAGGTTAAATACTTAATTCGTTCCGGAGGTCCGTACTTAACCTGAAGCCACCAGAGCACAATTTCTGTTCTCATCCTGAAGCAAAGTTCTTAACCCGAGGTAATATTTCTGGGTTAGCGGAATCTGTAACCTGAAGCGGTATGTAACCTGAAGCTTGTGTAACGCGAGGTACCACTGTACTTGCAAGCGCCTAGCAGCAACTAACGCAATCAGTTCGCAATCGCCATCTTGGGACAGAGGCTATGCACACATTACTGGTTAGTCTGGCTCCAATGTGCTTCCACTGCTGGTGTTTGAAGCCAGGTACACATGACACGGGTAGGATGCGGGTGGCGTTGTGGTCTAAATCACTGAGCCTCTTGGGCTTGCCATTCAGAAGGTTGGCGGTTTGAATCCCCGCAACGGGGTGAGCTCCCGTTGCTCTGTCCCAGCTCCTGCCAACCTAGCAGTTCGAAAGCACAACAGTGCATGTAGATAAATAGGTACCACTCCGGCGGGAAGATAAACGGCGTTTCCGTGCGCTGCTCTGGTTCGCCAGAAGCGGCTTAGTCATGCTGGCCACATGACCCAGAAGCTGTACGCCGGCTCCCTTGGCCAATAAAGCGAGAGGAGCGCTGCAACCCCAGAGTCGTCCGCGACTGGACCTAACAGTCAGGGGTCCCTTTACCTTTACCTTTTTACACATGACATCAGCAACAACCCATCTTTATCTTGTAGCTCCTTGAGAAATACTCCTATATGGTGCATTTGCCCTCAAACCATTTTCTATTGAATTTGAAAATGGAGGCCACACTTAAGCAGAGGTATGTTCAGTGCAGATGTTCATTGCGCATGTGCAGAAGATAGCTTCATCGAATTTGATGGAGTTTGATGGGGTTTCAGGCAGGAGAAACAAATCAGGGAGCTGGCAATGGTGTGTTTCCCTCCCCTTCTCCCAACCCCTTCTATTTTTACTTCTAACATCTGGTGTAGCTTGCTCACGACTTCGTGGCATTTTTGGTTGCTCCTATAAAGGTATTGCCCATCTGGGGATTTTGCAATAAACCTCCACAGTCACTGGCCCCCACCCCACCCAAATTCCTGTCCAGAGGGTTACAACAATAATATAAAGAAGTGAATAAACATGCATAATACTGAGTTGGGAGAGTTAACCAGCGAACACAGGGTTTCCCATACTGGAGTCTCCAGCTGTCTTTGGACTACAAGTCCCATCATTCCTAGCTAGCAGGACCAGTGGTCAGGGCTGATGAGAACTGCAGTCCAAAAACAGCTGGATACCCAAGTTTGGGAAACACTGAGCTAACTGAACAAGACAGAAAAGTAATTCACATCAGATCGGTAGCTCAGTTGGTTAGAGTGTGGCGATGATAATGCCAAGGTTGCAGGTTCGATTCCCTGTATGAGACAGCTGCACATTCCTGCATACTAGATGATCCTCAGGGTACCTTCCAACTCCAGAATGCTATGATTCTATGAAACCACAATTTATTTTTTTTAGGGGGGGAAACCTTTCAGTATGTAAATGTGGCTTCTCAAAAACAACCCTACTGGGCAGCAATCCCTAAGCAGAATAAACTGCTTTATATACATCCCATTTGGCACTTCAGTAAGTGCTAATTCCCTGGTACTTCCAAAGTAGCTGAATTTATTTTAAAAGCAAAGGCTCTGTGGTTGCTTTTTGCAAGGAATGTGAGAGCAGATGCCTGTTTATTGCAGGGAGGTGCAGAAATTCGTTATTGATGAGTAGTTGAAACACACAGCTTTGAGGAGCCAATTGGGCAAACAACTAGCCTAAAGCAACAGCTTATTGAGTAGTCTCATTGGCATCTAAAGGGTAAGGGGTGGAAATCACATTTTATCCGATGCTTTCTTCCCGGGACAATAATTAGCACCAGCAGCTTGCTTGAGCTGCAGGAAATAACCCGTCAATGCCAAAAGAAAAGAGCACATCGGAGGGAAGAAGTAAAAAAAAGGGAACAATATTGGTTGAATAGCATTTTTCAATATTTTGCACATAATCACCATGCTGCACTCCCACAGTGGGATATAAAATCCAAAATAGAACAAGAATGGCAAACGATTGATGCTGTCAACTGGCTGTGCTTTAGTGCGAGAAGAGTTGGATGAGAGAGCCATAAGTTTAGGTGGCTTTTTGTCTGATCCTTTGACATACATTTCTGACATCTCAAAAAAAACACCTTGCAAAATATTTGATGGCACAAAATGTAATGTGTTTGCTAAGATGAAATCTACCTGCATTCCAAACCCATTTTGAAACTGGAGCAAACCTAAGCGCTGTCCATTTAGTCCACAGAATGACACAGGTACAATTTCAGATTTCAGTGTGTTTGCACTTATGCAGTGGCCAAAATTCTTACAAAGTACAGTCATACCTCAGGATAAATATGCTTCAGGTTGAGCGCTTTCGGGTTGCGCTCCACGGCGACCCGGAAGTAACGGAGCGCATTACTTCCGGGTTTCGCCACTCGCGCATGCGCAGATGGTAAAAATGAGGTCACACGCATGCGCGGAAGAGGCGAAACGCAAGCCACGCATGCACAGACGCGCTGTTGCGTCTTATGTTCTGTTCAGGATGCGAACAGGGCTCCAGAACGGATCCCGTTTGCATCCCGAGGTACCACTGTATAGCCAAATGTCTCTCCTGCTCTTTGATACATTCAAGATTGAATTGCAAAACAAAGCGTAGCAAAACGAAAGCATTTGTAGCCGTTCTATTTCATCTTTATACCTCAAGTATACAGTGGTACCTCAGGTTACATATGCTTCAGAACAGTTTCAGGTTAAGAACGGACCTCCAGAACGAATTAAGTACTTAACCTGAGGTACCACTGTATATAGAATGATTATATGATTCAAAACAATAATGACTTTCACTGCATTCCTGTGGCCACTAAACCAAGTGTAAGGCCTGTTGAACTCAATGGAACTTACTTTTGAATAAACATGCAAAGGAATGTGCAGCAGGAAGAACCTGGTAGATAGAAATACAGGTGCTCCTGATATTACGTTTGGTCTGCAACGGAGGTCAGAGAAAATGCTTCCCCCATACTCCCTAAATGATACCCTGAAAAGTGGTGAGGTTACCTTGTTATTGGCATTCATGGAGTGTGTCTCCAGAGGTGAAGTCAAATGGCTGTGTTAGGAGCAAGCCTGGGCAGTGTGTATGGAGATCTTGGGCTGTCCACATGACAGCCCCAGCTTGGTCTCCCTGATGTGGTCCGAAGGAAAGCAGAGCAATATGTTTGGCACCAGCTTGGCTGCAGGAGCTGCTGCCAAAAGGAGGTATGTAAGACACAGTCCAACCGTCTTAGGGCCTCCACTCCAGTTTTGTGTAGGGTTTGCTCCTCAGCCTTTTCTTCTCCTGAAGATATACCACAAGGCAGCAGAGGTTTCAGATCAGAGTTCTTCTACTCCTAGATGGGCTACCTTCCCAGGTTGACAGCCCCTTCTCCCTCTACATCACGTGCAGAAACCGTCTCCTTGACCATTGGACCCACCGTTGGTCTTGTCCACTCAATCCGCCAGAGCCTGTCTTCATGTGCAGCACAAGTCCCTAACTCACTGAGGGTTTGAGACCCATTGGCTACCCTCACCTAGTTTAGCCAGCCAGTGGAAGCCATTCCAGGGTGTGGCTGCTGTCGCATGCAGACAGCTTCTAGGACAGCGGTTCTCAACCTGTGGGTCCCCAGATGTTGTTGGACTACAACTCCCATCATCCCTGAGCTCTGGCCTTGCTAGCTAGGGGTGATGGGAGTTGTAGTTCCACAACATCTGGGGACCCACAGGTTGAGAAAGGCTGTTCTAGGAGCCACAGGTGATAGCTGAATGCAGGGTTGGGGACTAAAGATGCACAAACTACCCCAAAAGGTGTATGGTGTGTCCCCTGCCAGAGGTACTACCCCTCCTCTAACACCCCATATAGCCTGGTTAAGTTGAAAACAGGGTGGCCCACTTTCTCCCAGCACAAAACCACCATTGAATACACCCCACTGGTATCACACACTGAATTGTCTCTGTTTTCCCCAATGAATCCTGGGGGTTGTAGTTTGGTCAAGGTGCTGAAAATTCCATTTTTGGGGTTCCCACCTTCCTCTTCAAAAACTACCATTCCCAAGGAAAGGGAAGGGCCTTTAAGTCTAGTTTAAGTCTAATGCAGACATGACTTCTGAATACCTATTTACTCTTATATACTTGTCACTTTTGGTTGTGATCAATACATGCTATTAAGCCCAAGAGAGCCGTTTTAAAATTGGATACAGATTCTAGGCGATCTACAGCAAATTATAGAAAAGGAAATTTTTGCACATGGGCGAGAACTACAGAGATCAATATTCAGTTAGTGAACAATTCTGTAAATGGTTGCCAAATTACTCCGAACTTGTGTGAGTTATCCCTCTTATAGTACATAATTTGTTCTTTGTTGGACGACTCTATAAGGTCTTCAGTTCCCAAATACAGGTGGAGATTAGGCTCCCGCAGACATCCTTTTTATTGCACATTTACCATGATATGTGCTCACGATGCTGTTACTTGTGATCCCACTTCCAATACAAGCATTTTGAGGTGGCCAGCCTTCTTCATTTCCAGTCAGTGGATATCCTCCTGAAATTCCATAACTTTCCTGCTTTTGTTGTGCTAAAGTGCCTCGGGGCAGCAATAACGTGGTTGCATTGGAGGAGTACAGGCGATTTATGCAGTGGTTATGTTCCAGGCCCCTGTGTGCATAAGTGAAGTTGTGTAAAGTGGGGATCACCCTTTAAACGCCCTCTCCACCACTCTCTCTTCAATCCATACCCAAAATGCCATATGTAGAAAATATCCACAACTGACATTGAAGGTCTGGGGCTAGCAGGAGGCTGGGGGGGGGGCGGTAAGTGGAAAAGCAACTCCTCCTGCTGCTGCTGCACTTGAAATTGAAATTGAAATACTTTATTGTCACTTGTACAACTTGTATACAGTGAGATTACACGAGCACCTCCCACTCAGCTCTCTTCGTCTTAATTCCCCTCATTTACTGACACAAACTCACCAAACCAGAAAGTCAGTTGCCCTGTTGTTATCTTTTCATTCAGCAGCCTAACAGCCCACGGATAGAAGCTGTTTTTTACCCTGTTGGTGCAACTAATCATGCTTCTGTATCTTCTGCCCGAGGGCAGGAAATCAAGAAAGTGCCGGCCAGGGTGTGAATCATCCCTGAGGATTTCCCTCACTCTCCTGAGGCAATGTTCTTCCACTATGTCATCCAGCGAATTCATGGGACAGACCATAATATCTTGTGCTGTATTCACCACCCTCTGTAGGCACTTCCTATCAGTTGATGTCAAACCAGCATACCACACCGTGATGCAGTATGAAAGGACACTTTCTACTGTGGACCGGTAGAAGGAGATCATCAAATGTTCTTTCGCAATACTCTGAGGAGATGGAGTCTCTGTTGGGCTTTCTTAACCACCTGGGTTGTATTGATTTTCCAAGTAAGGTCTTCACTGAGATAAACTCCTAGGAATTTAAAGGAAGAGACTTTCTCCTCACAGCCCTGCAGATCAGCTGTTAGGCAGGGAGACTGAGCAGCCACAATGAGCCTCCAGGTTGCTTCAGGGTTCCCTCACTGATGTCCTCTTTGGGCTCCAAGAAGAGTGTACTCGCAAGACATGAGCTCTCTCCTGCCATTTCCGGGTTTGAATGGAATGATTTCCTGGCACCATGCGTATACAGTGGTACCTCGGATTAAGAACTTAATTCGTTCTGGAGGTCCGTTCTTAACCTGAAACTGTTCTTAACCTGAGATACCACTTTAGCTAATGGGGCCTCACACTGCCACCGCACCACTGCCACGCAATTTCTGTTCTCATCCTGAAGCAAAGTTCTTAACCCGAGGTACTATTTCTGGGTTAGTGGAGTCTGTAACCTGAAGCGTCTGTAACCCGAGGTACCACTGTACACGGTTGTGCATGAGTCGATCGCACATGAATGGGGGGGGTGCCTATATTGCAGATCAAACTGAAGCAGAATAAATCCATCACTAATCACTATGATTGTGTCAATAAAAGGTTGCAGTATACATCTGCAATAAGATACCAGTCTGGAGGGACCCATCGAGATTTCCACAGCTGCAATATAATGTAAAAAGGGAGCAGGTGGCGCTGTGGTCTAAACCACTGAGCCTCTTGGACTTGCTGATCGGAAGGTCGGCGGTTCAAATCCACATGACAGTGAGCTCGGTCCCAGCTCCTGCCAACCTAGCAGTTCGAAAACACGCCAGTGCAAGTAGATAAATAGATACCGCTGCGGCGGGAAGGTAAACGGCGTTTCCATGCACTCTGGTTTCTGTCACAGTGTTCTGTTGCACCAGAAGCAGTTTAGTCATGCTGGCCACATGACCTAGAAAGCTGTCTGTGTACAAACTCCAGCTCCATTGGCCTGAAAAGCGAGATGAGTGCCGCAACCCCATAGTCGCCTTTGACTGGACTTAACTGTCCAGGGGTCCTTTACCTTTATACACACACACACACACACACACACACACACACACAAAAACCCCATATATATGTAAAGCCCTGTTTAGGGAAGTTTTTAACATTTAATGCTGTATTGTTTTTAACACTTGATTGGAAGCCGCCCAGAGTGGCTGGGGAAACTCAGCCAGATGGGCTGGGTAGAAATAAATAAATAATAATAATAATAATAATAATAATAATAATATTTATTTATATGATGTACTTGGTGCCAAATGATCTGCCAATCTCAAGTGTAATTTGGTTGACATCTGTCCAAATGGCAGAGATGTGCCACTATAGAAGGTGATTGATTCTATTCAAACAGAAGCCTCAATTGATTCTGGGAATGACATCTTGGCTAGGCAATTCCAAAATGCACCCACTTTAGAATTGCCTGACTTTAGAATTGTCACCCATTAGTGGGGGGAATTGTATAAATCTATTGACCTTGATTGCCCTCTCTGGCATTGTATTGAAAGGGCAATAAGGATAAGTTTTCAAAAAAGAATGCTGTTGTGCCAATATTTGGAATGCATTTTATCATTACAGGTGTTTCTGCGCAGCTTACCAGCACGAGGCTGAGGAGAAACACATCAGTTGGAACCCCATTTTGGATGGCTCCTGAGGTGAGCTATAGTTTGCTTATCGTGCGTATGCTTACTTCTATTAAATAGCTGCTTTGAACTGGTGTTTTTTTTTTAACTGCTAATTCCGTTGTCTTGTTATTTGTTGAATTGGTATGTGTGTGTTTTTGACAAGTAGTACATAAGTTATATTAAATACAAAAATAAAAAGCTAGATTTAAGATTTCAGGGCTTTGAGATACATGTTATCTGAATTCTCAAACCCCCTTTATATATAGGATACTAGCCATCCATCTTTAAGAATAAGCCGAGGTTAAGAAGATTGGGATTTAGCTGAGGTGACCGAAGTTATGTGCCAAAAACAGGGCAGCAAAGTTTGAACCCACATCTATGGTGAATGGTAGTTTCCCACTGAATCTGCTTTACATCCAACCTGATTCTATATAGCAGGTCATCAAAGGAATTTGTTAAATACTACAGTTTCTCTAATCTGGCAACACTCCCTCCAACAGTTAACTCATATGGTGAGTGTCATGAATGTGTCAGTGTCATGGCAATAGAGTCAGATTCTCTCCCCCCCTTTTGGGGAGGAGGTCCAGAATTCAGATTAGGAGAAAGAAAACTGCAGCAGAAGTACCTGGTCCAGAGTGTTCTGTTGTTCCAGTACATCTCTAGCCTTAGGAAGTCACATTGTAGAGCCAGTGTGGTGTAGTGGTTAAGAGCAGTGGATTCGTAATCTGGTGAACCGGGTTCACTTCTCCGCTCCTCCACATGCAGCTGCTGGGTGACCTTGGGCCAGGCACACTTCTCTGAAGTCTCTCAGCCTCACTTACCTCACAGAGTGTTTGTTGTGGGGGAGGAAGGGAAAGGAGATTGTTAGCCGCTTTGAGACTCCTTCGGGTAGTGATAAAGCGGGATATCAAATCCAAACTCTTCTTCCTCTGACTCTTAAGACTCAGAACCCAAGGAGAGCCACATTTTTACCTCCTCCATTGGATCAATGGCTGCTAAAATAGACTTGTCCCCTTTAAATCAAGAGGTTCCTCTCATGCAAGGTAGAGCTAGCAACTGAAATGATGCAGCAACCGCTATTTAAGGGTCAGTCTGAGGATGACTGCCGCTGAAACAACATTTGAGCATTGCTCTTGCGGAGCCATGCATGGAGCTGTCCAGGGTGCCACTGAAGACTTCCCTCCATCCTGCTGAGCCTGTCACTCAACAGAGAACAAAGTGGGCTATTCTGTAAGAGGAAGGTGATGAGAGATGCACCTGGTCCCTTTAAAACATTCAGACCCAGAATAAATGTGACACCAGAGCCTATGCAATGTTCAACACAAGTAGCACCTCATTTAAAACACCACACAACCAACCTCTGCCTGGTCAGTCATCCTACATGCGCTGCACACTTCTTTGAATTTTCCAGTGCACTTCTTGGCTCAAAAACATTAAAATGAATATTTTAATATTAAAATGAATATTTTGGGTTGCAATGCAATGCATGAATATTTAGGGGGAAATATTTAGGGGGAAATGCATAGGGAATTGATATTTTTGGGAAAACATACAGAAATGAATATGAAATGTGTACTATTGTGAATGCAAAGTTCTTTTTGGAGTTTTATTAAAAAGAAAAAAAAGTTCCAGCAAAATTGGATGGAATCAATATGTCAAGAGGGAAAAGGACCAGAGATGGACTGATCCCCCTGTACTTGTTTGAAACAAGGACCTATTTACATATAACACCGGTCCTGAAAGACCTACATTGGTTCCAGTACGTTTCCGAGCACAATTCAATGTTGGTGCTGACCTTTAAAGCCCTAAACGGCCTTGGCCCAGTATACCGGAAGGAGCGTCTCCACCTCCATCGTTCAGCCTGGACACTGAGGTCCAGCGCCAAGGGCCTTCTGGCGGTTCCCTCCCTGCGAGGTTATAGGGAAGGTTACAGTGAACCAGGCAGAGGGCCTTCTCAGTAGTGGCACCCACCCTCCTATCAGATGTCAAGGAAATAAACAACCAACTGACTTTCAGAAGACATCTGAAGGCAGCCCTGTTTAGGGAAGTTTTTAATGTTTGATGTTTTATTGTGTTTTTAATATTCTGTTGGGAGCTGCCAGTGACTGGGGAAACCCAGCCAGATGGGCAGGGTATATATAATCTATTATTATTATTATTATTTACTTGTTAGAGCTCCACCGATGTGCACAGGGGTCAAGAATGCCACCCCTGTGTGAAACGCTCATTGCCTGTACACAAGAAGCAATAAATGAGCAGCAAATATCCGAATGCATTTCAATACAACTTTTTATTTTTAAACTGCATGGATTAAAAAATAAGGCAGATCTTTTGGGATTTCAAAAATAACATTCTTACTGAAAAACAATGTAATCTTCAATGGCATTCTAGAAATGTCCTGTTGAACAAGCCTTCCCAGCTAGAAGCTCCGGCTGCTGCTTTAAAGCAAAACTTCTTATGTAATCAAAACATATTTCTTTTGATGGATCTATTTAAATGATAACTTGCAATCTCCATCTTACGTTCAAAATGACGCTGCAACTGTAATGTGCTGGGCAGCTTTAATTAAAAGGCTTGAAATACCTTTCAATGAAAAAAGCAAATGCCTAGCAAAAGTGGCAGGATTCTACGTACAGTAATTGAGAACAGCAAGCTTGGTTTTATAATTCATTGGAAATAAACATCGCGCCCAATGCATACAAACAGTCTAAAAAAGGGCCTTGCTTGCCTTTTCCCTTTTCTCCCCTCCAGCATCTCCTATTTGCTGTTCAGTGGCCCGCATCACAGGGCTCAAGGTCAGTCCCGGCTTAATAGCTTGAGGTTTCTTTACTTCCTATTTAGCTAACATTAGCTTCCCTGATCTGGACGGACGTTTTGTTCTCTGCCCGAGTACAATTTAAATAAGAGGGAGAGTTTATGTTGGCCAAATTCTAGGGGAAAGATGCACATTTAGACAAATAAAGTACAAAATCCATTTGATTTTTTGATGCCTCAAAGGCATCTGAAAGTCATTGCGCACATGCAGATTGTTTGAACGGGGGAAAGGAAAAGCAGGATCTTAACAATGAGATGAACAGTTTCTCTGCAGTAAGGAAAGATTGTATACACGTCCCATTTATAACATAGAAGGCAAATTTAATGCTCATTAGGCAGTGTCTCGCTATAACTATAATTTTGCAGATTCACTCCTCTCCCAGTTTGCTGGTACTTTTGCAGAACAGAGTCATGTTCGGTTTGGGAACGGGTTGCCATTGCTTCAGATAAACCGTTGTTTGTATAAGAGCCCCTGAGAGAAAGGGGAGATGACTCGCATACCTTCCAACATTTCTCCAATGAAAATAGGGACGTTCTAAGGAAAAGCGGGTGGCCCTGTGGGTTAAGCCAGAGAACCTAGGGCTTGCCGATCAGATGGTCGGCGGTTCGAATCCCCGCGACGGGGTGAGCTCCCGTTGTTTGGTCCCTGCTCCTGCCAACCTAGCAGTTCGAAAGCACGTCCAAGTGCAAGTAGATAAATAGGTACCACTCCGGCGGGATGGTAAATGGTGTTTCTGTGTACTGCTCTGCTTCGGCAGAAGCGGCTTAGTCATGCTGGCCACATGACCCGGAAGCTGTACGCCGGCTCCCTCAGCCAATAAAGCGAGATGAGCACTGGAACCCCAGAGTCGTCTGTGACTGGACCCTAACGGTCAGGGGTCCCTTTACCTTTACCTTTAAGGAAAAGCAGGACATTCCGGGATAAAATCAGAAACCAGGACAGCTTCTCTAAATAAGGAACGGCCCTGGAAAATGGGGACACTTGGAGGGTCTGAACTCATTCTTCTTTCTTCTTTGGCGATCACTCATAGCCGAGTATGATTGTCTTCCATAAACACAGTTTTATCAGTGAGTCCGTAAGTGACTGTGGAGGCCAATTCTGGATCCACACGTCCTTCCACAGTGGGGACGTTGGTTCCCAGGCAGGAGTTGATCACGGTGATGGTTTGCCAAGCATGCCTTCCTCTTAGCACTTTTCTCCCTTGTGTTCTGAGTTCGAGTGTCTTCAAAGTTCATGACACCTTTGGTAAAGGCTGTTCTCCAATTGCAGCACTCGCAGGCCAGTGTTTCCCAGTTGTCGGTGTTTAAACTACATTTTTAAAGATTTGCCTTGAGACAGTCTTTAAACCTCTTTTGTTGACCACCAGCATTGCGCTTTCCATTTTTAAGTTTGGAATAGAGTAGTTGCTTTGGAAGACGATCGATCATCAGGCATCCGCACAACATGACCAGTCCAACGAAGTTGATGTTGAAGAATCATTGCTTCAACACTGGTGATCTTTGTTTCTTCCAGTACACTGATATTAGTTCGCCTGTCTTCCCAAGTGTGCAGATATTTAGGATATACTCATAAACAGACACTGAGGCAGGGATTTGCCCTTGCCTTTCTAATCAAGCACATCTTCTCTTCAAATGCTGTTTACTGAGTAAACAGCAGGAAATGTGATCGCCCAAAAGATTAAAGAGCCATTATTGTTGTGTGCTAAATAGAATCTAAACAAGCTAAGCAAAAGAGGGAAGAATGCCACATATGTAGAAGGGTGCTTGCAATGTGTGCAGCATTTGGGGTGGGAATCAATGGCTCAGTCCCTCTTTCCCCTTCCCCCAGGAGTGTTCACGTCTTGCATTCAATGAGCGCACAATCTGAGTACGCAAACAATCAAGTTGTACACTTGCGCAGGTATTCACATGTAACGTTGAACAGCTTCGGCTGGTGGCCCAGCTACGCCCCTATCTGGACAGCGAAAGCCTAACTACTGTTGTCTATGCTCTGGTAACCTCAAGGTTAGATTACTGCAATGGGTTATACATAGGGCTGCCTCTGAAGACGGTTCGGAAACTTCAGCTAGTGCAGAATTCAGCGGCCAGGTTGCTCACCGGAGCAAAATGGTTTGAGCATATTACACCGATTCTAGTCTGACTGCACTGGCTACCAATTGGTTTTCAGGCCCAATTCAAAGTGCTGGTTTTGACCTATAAAGTCTTAAATGGCTCAGGACCACAATACCTCAAGGACCGCCTCTTCCCATATGAACCTACCTGGACCCCGAGATCATCATCTGAGCCCCTTCTTCGTTTTCTCCTCCTCGAGAGGTCTGGAGAGTGGCAACACAAGAACAGGGCCTTCTCTGCAGTGGCTCCCCGTCTGTGGAATGCTCTCCCCAGGGAAGTTCGCCTGGCGCCTTCACTATACACCTTTAGGCGCTAGGCAAAAACATTCCTTTTCAACCAGGCCTTTGCCTGACTTGATCTGCATTGTATACCCTTTTTTAAAGTGCTGGCTCTTTTGGGTTGTTTTTTTTTTAATTGGGTTGTTGGTTTTGTTTTGATTTTATGTATTTGATATTTTATGTGAACCGCCCTGAGACCTTCAGGTATAGGGCGGTATAGAAATTAATTAATTAAATAAACAAACAAATAAATAAATAGATAAAAGTGTGCCGTCTGTGTGCCTGTGTACACACTAGCCAAGTTTTAAAAAATCAACTAATGTACACTCTTTCGCACAAATACTTATGCATGGGGAGAGGCAGCTTGTACCTGTGTTCAAAATCTGAAGGGGAACATTGTCTAATTCTGATCTTCATAGCTCACTTTTTGGTGTGAATTGCTTGAAGCGGATAGCTCTGGAGAGCTCAGTTGGTTAGAGCAGGAGTCAACAAACTTTTTCAGCAGGGGGCTGGTCCACTGTCCCTCAGACCTTGTGGGGGGCTGGACTGTATTTTGAAAAAAATAATAATGAATGAATTCCTATGCCCCACTGAAATATACTCGGAGTCGAGAGTGGATTTCATGCTCTTTATTCAGCTCATAGTGGTGAGCATAGCTGTCAACTTACAGATTTGAAAATAAGGGACCAGCAGCCTTGAAAATAAGGGACCAGCAGCCAAAATAAGGGACCTGCAGCCTCACCTGTTCCAGGCACTCCAGTCTTCCTGTCCTCCTGCAGTCTGGTTAAAATCATGCTGGTAGCTTCGAGAACACTGTCCAACCAACTTTGTAACCAGAGGTTCAACTGAATAGAATCTGAATCACATGCACCACAAGGCCTATGCAGCCTCAACTTAAGATGGCTCCCCGGCCTGGCTTTGCACTGCAAAGTTTGCAGCAGCACGTGCAACAAAATGACGTCCAGCATTCAAAAAACCCCTCAGCTTGCATTAACTAGCCACACACAAGGCATGCAAGCTCCACCCCCCAGTCGTTCTTAGACTTCTTATTGGGTGAGCAACACAGCCAAGCAACACAGTTGGAGCCTCCCTCCTCCCTGGCCGGCAGGGAGGGAGGGAGAGGAGCTGCTTCCTTTGAAATTTGAGGGACATCATTTAAGGGACATTTAAGGGACATCCATCAATAAGGGACAGCAGCGGGACATGGCGCGGGAATAAGGGACTGTCCCTTCAAATAAGGGACATTTGACAGCTATGGTGGTGAGGAGGAATGGAAGTTCCCCCACAATATCTGCTTTATATACATTATTTACACAATGGGCTGCACGTGATTGGCTAATTCCGGGATTCTCCTGTAGGCCAATCAGGTTGTGGATTCACTTCCACCTGGAGCTGGATTGGGTGGCTCCTGCGGACCAATCATACTGCTGCATTGTTCTAGGACCAATCAGACTGCTACATTCTGAATCTTATTGTTCTAGGACCAATAGGACTGCTGCATTTTGGATCCTATTCAACTCAGTACATAACACCCACAAATAACCCACAGGTGCATTTTAAATAAAAGCACACATTTTACTCATGTAAAAACACCAGGCAGGCCCCACTAATAACCCAGAGATGCATTTTAAATCAAAGGACATATTTTACTCATGTAAAAACACGCTGATTCCCGGACCGTCCGCGGGCCGGATTTAGAAGGCGATTGGGCCAGATCCGGCCCCCAGGCCTTAGTTTGCCTACCCATGGGTTAGAGCATGGTGCTGATAACCCCAAGGTTGCGGGTTTTATCCCCATATGGGACAACTGCATATTCCTGCATTGCAGGCGTTTAAACTAAATGATCCACAGGGTCCCTTCCAATTCTACTTGATTCTACTTCATTAACAAAGTACTATGGATCCTTTGATTAACTATAGATAAAACTGTTTAGTTTCTTTTCAGGGCTGGGGATGTGTTTTAATGATTGGACAGCCTCCATAGATACTGTTTTGCTGCCTTATAACCGAGCCGATTGCTATTTTTTTATATACCGTATTTTTCGCTCTATAAGCCGCACCAGACCACAAGATGCACCTAGTTTTTGGAGGAGGAAAACAAGGAAAAAAATATTCTGAATCTCAGAAACCAGAACAGCAAGAGGGATCGCTGCGCAGTGAAAGCAGCAATCCCTCTTGCTGTTCTGGCTTCTGGAATAGCTGCGCAGCCTGCATTCGCTCCTAAGACGCAAACACATTTCCCCTTACTTTTTAGGAGGGAAAAAGTGAGTCTTATAGAGCAAAAAATACGGTATATTTCAAAATGGGAGGGCTAAAAATGAAAGGCAATTGATTTTGCTATGCCTAGCAAAATTGGCTGTGACTTCCTTCTGAGTTACTGCCTCTAAGGAGTTCATTTACATGATTTCAGAGAAGTGACAATATTGGGAACAGATGTTTTTGGAAAGAGGGTGAAGAAAATTCAAAAGCTTGAAATGTGTCAAGCTTCCTGCCATAGTGTTGCCCCTCGCATTTTGACAGTCTCTGTTAATAGTAAATGCCAAGATACGACGGGTTTTTATTCAGGATGTAAACGCTGAGTCATCATTCTGGGGGGACGCCTCACAATCAAATAAATTATATATATTTAAAAATAAAAACTATATCTGTCGTTTCCTCCTTTAAATTTTGCGCAGGCATAACTCATAATGGCAAACATTAACCATTTTGTGCGCAGTTTTACTTCACCATATCTTCTTCAGCCTGTTCTCTAATGCTTTTGAGTTATTCTCTCATTGCTCTCTCTCTAAACCGTTCCTAAATTTCCATAGCATATGGCAGTGGATGAAAATTTGGGGAACCTAGGAAGAAGAAAGATTTACGAAATAGGACTTCTCATATTTATTACATGGGTTCTGTGGCACACTGGAAGAAAATTCCAGAATCTGTATTTTCACAATTCTATATTCGGCCAAGCAAAATGTTACAAAAAAGTGTGCAACGTGTCTGAGTTCTCCATAATTCTTCATCAGGTTAGAAGGGAAAGAAAATGGAGATGGCTGCAAGGGGGAGCTGGTTGATGCTGGAATTGTTAGAATTCCTGGTCTATGATTGCAGTCATGGGATTGTTGTCTATCACATGACGGTATATGTTTTGACTCCACAGAGTGGGAAGTAACGGAGACAGGATGTTTGTGTTACTGTGTTCTGTGAAGTGGAACTATTGTCCTTTGTTCTTTTTCTCTTTGCTGTCTGATGCTAGAGAGAGAGGGAGCCATGTTGCAGTGCTGCATGTGTTTATATGTAATAAAGTAGATTAGCCAAAATGCTGAGGTCCGTCATGCAAGGTGCGCAAACTCTGCGGATCCCTAAGTGTGCTGGTGTCGGTTGGCATCAGTCGCTGTGATGTTCAGACTGAAAAAAGCTAATGAAGCTCTCGAACGATTGACTAGGACTGAGGGAACATGCCAGTCGGGCATGTGTCTCTACCAGGGTCCTACTCGTGTATAGGCTGAACTCCTGACAGGAATCATGAGGGGAGTCTGCTTTTAATCGCGATTTTAGGAGGGCTTGTGAGAACCAGTAGCAGACATATCCCATCTTCCCCACCATTGGTCATGCTGCCTGGGGCTGATGGCTGGGTGCTTTACAGATTCTTAGGTGCACTTAGAACTGCTGGGGTGGAAGGGGATGCATATGGTTTAGGACAGGTGAGATTCTCTATTTCTCATCTTTAGTTCAATTTTCTACATTTCTGCATCAGTTTCTGATTTCCTTTTAAAATTCCTCATGAAAATTCCTCAACCTTTTAGTAAAATTTTCTCCTGATTACACACACAGTTTCCTCTAGGATACACATTCTTGCAAGCAGTTTCTCCTAACAGAACATATTTTTGTACCATTTTCACTAATGCAGGCATTTAAATGTACACTTTAGTATATCTGTTTTTGTACACATTGGATGGTATTCTACCAAGCTTTACTCCGAGTAGACCCAGTAAAATCAATGGACATGACTACGGTAGAGTCTTTAATTTCCATGGATCTACTCTAAGTAAAACTTAGTTGCACACCGCCCATCACTTGGCTGAACAACTGCGTCGCAAAATTCTGTGTGAATGGCTGTACTGTACAGTGGTGCCTCAGGTTACATACGCTTCAGGTTACAGACTCCGCTAACCCAGAAATAGTACCTCGGGTTAAGAACTTTGCTTCAGGATGAGAACAGAAATCGTGCTCCGGCGGTGCAGCAGCAGCAGGAGGCCCCATTAGCTAAAGTGGTGCTTCAGGTTAAGAACAGTTTCAGGTTAAGAACGGACCTCCGGAACGAATTAAGTACTTAACCTGAGGTACCACGGTATTTCAATCCACATATTTTTTGGGAAAGTGCAAACTAGATGAGTTTGCTTTTAAATGAAAACTGGATCATTCCCCCTCCTCCCCCACCATTCTTGCATATTGTGTCCATTTCTAAAAGCATAAAATCTGGCTGTTATTTCCCAGCTCTGTAGTCTTTCGTAGATGAAACATACCTTGTTTTAAGCTTTTTCTTGAATTGGAAGAAGAGCTATATCAGGGGTCAGCAACCTTTTTCAGCCGTGGGCTGGTCCACCGTCTCCCTCAGACCATGTGGTGGGCCAGACTATATTTTGAGGGGGGGGGGAATGAACAAATTCCTATACCCCATAAATAACCCAGAGATGCATTTTAAATAAAAGCAAACATTCTACTCATGTAAAAACACCAGGCAGGTCGCACAAATAACCCAGAGATGCATTTTAAATAAAAGCAAACATTCTACTCATGTAAAAACACACTGATTCCTGGACCGTCCGCAGGCCGGATTTAGAAGGCGATTGGGCCGCATCCGGCCCCTGGGCCTTAGGTTGCCTACCCATGAGCTATATGTTGAGTTACCCTGGAACAGGCTGTCCTCTTAAGCAAGCCTCATGTTTGATGTTTGTACCTGATTTTTCTGCTTAGAAAAGAGCAGCAATATATTTCCATGCCTATTATCCTTACATTTTCTCGCAGCTCCTGTGTATTTGAATACAGAGCATTTTATGTATATTCAAATAGTTGTATGGCAAATGGAAAGCAAGAGAGTGATTGGATTGAGAGGCAAATGAGGATGATTTATTTTAGCTCAGATACACCCATTTAAACACCATTCATTCCTGTTGCCAGTCTGCTGACTGAAAGAGCATTGCTCCAGCTCTTAAAATATAAAATGCGATGTAAACCACTCTGTCTTAAATCAGTCAATCCCCCACTACCATCATTCAAGCTAGTGTGGTGTAGTGGTTAAGAGCAGTAGTCTCGTAATCTGGTGAACCGGGTTCGCGTCTCCGCTCCTCCACATGCAGCTGCTGGGTGACCTTGGGCTAGTCACACTTCTCTGAAGTCTCTCAGCCCCACTCACCTCACAGAGTGTTTGTTGTGGGGGAGTAAGGGAAAGGAGAATGTTAGCTGCTTTGAGACTCCTTCGGGTAGTGATAAAGCGAGATATCAAATCCAAACTCCTCCTCTTCTTCTTCAACAACAACAACAACACACACACACACACACACACACACACACACACACTTGCTGTCATGATCCATGCAAGTTAGAAATCTGAAGATCGTCTCCCTAGCACAGAATCCCTATAGAACATATAAAACCAAGTTGCATGCATGTATAATATGTATAAGGAAATCAGCCCTGAGTGCTCACTGGAAGGACAGATCATGAAGCTGAGGCTCCAATACTTTGGCCACCTCATGAGAAGAGAAGACTCCCTGGAAAAGACCCTGATGTTGGGAAAGATGGAGGGCACAAGGAGAAGGGGACGACAGAGGATGAGATGGTTGGACAGTGTTCTCGATGCTACCAGCATGAGTTTGACTAAACTGTGGGAGGCAGTGGAAGACAGAAATGCCTGGCGTGCTCTGGTCCATGGGGTCACGAAGAGTCGGACACGACTAAACGACTAGACAACAACAACATAATATGTATAGCATCTTGCCTTGGTGCTGTAAATTAAATTAAACCGTGCCATAACATTACAAAAATCGGACAGTGCATTTTGTTTGCTTGGCCAGCTCTTTTGCTCTCCTTGGAGCAAGGGTAACTAGATTGTGCCATATTCAGGGTTTTGAATGTGTGTACACTGATCCATTTTTCAGCATAATGCCGGCATACCTCATAAGCTGCTTAGCTAGTAACATCACCAGCTTTTCCCCCAGGAGGCTCAGACCTTTTAAACTCCAGCTTCTTCCCAGCTTGGTGGGTCAGCAGTGCTAATTGTCCAGTTCAGGTCTCCAGCTAGTCTCGCGCCACAGCCATAATCACGCCGTGTTATACATTGTATGCCTGCGGCTATGTTTTTTTGAATGCATGTGTTGTGTATTCTGAGGAGAGAGGAGGAGGGGGAGGCGGGTGGATAGTTTTGCGGTGTAGAATCCAGGCATACTTTTTAAAGGAGTCGCTGAGCAATCCTGTATTCTCTGTGCTTCCTTGTTGTTTTTTGAATCATACAAAACATATAGACCCTCTTGAACCATGTGTCTACATTTTGCTGGTTTCTCATAGTTTTGTGTCAATTTAAATGCTAATTTTCTATTACATTCAGTCATCAGTCATGAAAGCCAGACATATTGTTGGAATAGGAGTAGAGTAACATATGCGGGTGGCGCTGTAGTCTAAACCACTGAGCCTCTTGGGCTTGCCGATCAGAAGGTCGGTAGTTTGAATCCCAGTGATGGGGTGAGTTCGGGTTGCTCTGTCCCAGCTTCTGCCAATCTAGCAGTTCAAAAGCATGCCAGTGCAAGTAGATAAATAGGTGCCACTGTGGTGGGAAGGTAAACAGCATTTTTGTGCACTCTGGTTTCTGTCACGGTGTTCCGTGCCGGAAGCAGTTTAGTCATGCTGGCCACATGACCCAGAAAGCTGTCTGTGGACAAATGCCGACTCCCTCAGCCTGAAAGCAAGATGAGTGCCACAACCCCATGGTTGCCTTTGACTGGACTTAACCATCCAGGGGTCTTTTACCTTTTCTTTTTCTTTTCTTTTTTAGAGTAACATAGTGGCTGGGGCAACCCAGTCAGATGAGTGGCACATAAATATATCATCATAATCATCACCATTATCCTTATAGCTTTCCAAATAAACATATAGAATTTTTGTGGATTTGGGTTCTCTCTCTCTCTCTTTCTCTCTCTAATGTGGCATTGCCACATACCCAAAGTGGTATCTAAAGTGTGTGTGTGGGGATAACCTGTGTCCAATCTGGTAGGATTCCCATGGATTCTGGGCATGAAACCGGTTCTATCAGTGATGGGGACCCAGATGTTGTTAGAACTATGACCCCATCTTCCCTTGACCACTGGGAAAGATGGGTCTTGAGCTGACAGATGTTGGAGTTCTCAACAGCTTAGCCACATGCTCCGCATCCCTAGTCATGTTGGTCTCTGCTTTTCTTTCATTTCCCTTGAAAGGACCCTGAAGCCCTATGGCACTTATGGCTTCTACCTAGCCACAATTTGCAGTCACCTAAAACTTAACTTAAAAACTTAACTTAATAACAGAGACATCACCTTGACGACAAAGGTCCGTATAGTTAAAGCTATGGTTTTCCCAGTAGTGATGTATGGAAGTGAGAGCTGGACCATAAAGAACGCTGATCGCCGAAGAATTGATGCTTTTGAATTATGGTGCTGGAGGAGACTCTTGAGAGTCCCATGGACTGCAAGAAGATCAAACCTATCCCTTCAGAAGGAAATCAGCCCTGAGTGCTCACTGGAAGGACAGATCCTGAAGCTGAGGCTCCAATACTTTGGCCACCTCATGAGAAGAGAAGACTCCCTGGAAAAAACCCTGATGTTGGGAAAGATTGAGGGCACAAGGAGAAGGGGACGACAGAGGACAAGATGGTTGGACAGTGTTCTTGAAGCTACCAGCATGAGTTTGACCAAGCTGCGGGAGGCAGTGGAAGACAGGAGTGCCTGGCGTGCTCTGGTCCATGGGGTCACGAAGAGTCGGACACAACTAAACGATTAAACAAACAAAAAACAAAAACTTAACCTCTGGTGTTAATACTTGGGGAGAAGTTCATTCTGTATGTATCCTCCCATTCCCTTAGAGGTAAGACAGATGGACCATGGTTTCATCATGGCGGCGCCTTCTCCTCTAGCTTTCTCTAACCTGGTTCCCTCCAGATGTGGCTGGACTACCTCCAATGATCAGGGATGATGGGAGCTGTAGCCCAGTAACATCTGGGGGTAACAAGCTTGGGGAAGGCTGATCTATGCTATGGAATAGGTTTTCTAGCTTGGTTTCTTTGGCACTTGATTTGCTGAGCTGTCCACTGAGATCTCTTTTTCTGATCAGTCTTTACAGGAGAGAGACTGCTGGAACAATCAGGGACAAACTATTCCACCTGCCTTGTTCCATCGCCTTTTTGTCAGGAAAATGTGAATATTAATAATTTGAAATGCTGAGATTTGATCCACATGTAAGCTGCATTGGGTGTAAATGTGGAAGAATAAATGAGCAAAATGCAATAATTCCTGTACATTTCCCTTTTAGATGCCCATGCTTTCTCTCTCTCTGCAAATGTATGCACTAAAGAGGATAAAAAGCAGCATTGTTTTCAAAAGGAAATATTGCCGGAGGATTTCAAAGACTGTAATTATTTTGGAATAATTAGCATCCGACGGCAAGAATTAATTTTTTTGTGCATTCTGTGGCCACCGTTAAAAATTAAGAACACTTGCACCCTGAATTTATGCAGAAAATTCGAACGGGTGTGTCTGTCAATGGTAGACTTGAATTGGAATTGGTAACTAAGGTTACATTCACACCGAATACTTAAAGCAGAGTCCGTCCCCCCAAAAAAAGAATTCTGGGAACTGTAGTTTAGTGCTCATAAAACCACAGATCCCAGGATTCTTTGGGGGGAAGCAATGTGTTTTAAATGTGTGGTGTGGATGTAGCCTAAATAGAGTGCATTTGTATGCCCTGCTTGGACAATGGGGCAATTGTTAACTCTGATGGTGTTTTCCTTTGTATTTGATAGGTCATTGCTTGTGAACAACAGTATGACTACTCCTATGATGCTCGCTGCGACGTTTGGTCTCTTGGGATCACAGCCATTGAACTGGGTGACGGGGACCCACCTTTATTTGACATGCATCCTGTGAAAACGCTTTTCAAGATCCCAAGGTATGGCACTAGGTGGCTCTCTTAGCTTGCTAGATTGCCATTCCTCACACAGACAGCAGCATTTCAACAGGGAAATGCAACTGTGAAATTTGGTACACCATTGCATCATAAGTTAACCCTGATTGAGAAATGCTACTATTAAGACCTTTAAAGCCCTAAACGGCCTCGGCCCAGTATACCTGAAGGAGCGTCTCCACCCCCATTGTTCTGCCCAGACACTAAGGTCCAGCTCCAAGGGCCTTCTGGTGGTTCCCTCCCTGCGAGGTTACAGGGAACCAGGCAGAGGGCCTTCTCAGTAGTGGCGCCCGCCCTGTGGAACCCTCCCGTCAGATATCAAGGAAATAAACAACTATCTGACTTTTAGAAGACATCTCAAGGCAGCCCTGTTTAGGGAAGCTTTTAAGGTTTGATGAATTATTGTATTTTAATATTTTGCTGGAAGCTGCCCAGAGTGGCTGGGGAAACCCAGGCAGATGGGTGGGGTATAAATAATAAATTGTTGTTGTTGTTAGATTCTTGCTTGCCCTGATCTACATGCAAGTAGTGCATTCTCCCAGAATAATAACATGTAATATTTCCATAGGTTTTTTTAATATAAAGCTTTCTCTCTATTTCTCTATGTAATAAAAATGTAAGGTTGTCATCACACCACTGGAGGATTTGTAGTGTCAGATCACAATCCTGGATTTGCAGGGCAGGGGAGCAAAAGTGAAGGCAGGGTGTACAACAGCAGTGGCCTGTAGTACGGGAGCAAGAAGGGAGGGACACTGAGCGGGGGAAAGTGGTGATTTCAAACAACAGTGGGTTTCAATAAAGCAGGCATGGAGGAAACTGAGAGGGAAATGGTGCTTTGGGCAGATGTTTGAGTAGAGGGAGTTGGGAGTAGTTGTGTTTCAGTGTGTCTCCCTTCTTACTGCACTAAAACGTTCCCCCCTTCCATTTCGCAGCAGCCTCTTGTGAGAAAGGTAAAGATCACGGAATCCTCAAATATTCCATGGTACCTTCCTACAATCATGCATTTCACTCCTGGTACCGAGTGTTGTTTTCAATATGAAGTTCCAGATTCAGTGTGGCAATTTAGAATAGATACTTGATTAACAAGTAAGGTAAAGGTAAAGGGGCCCCTGACCATTAGGTCCAGTCATGACCGACTCTGGGGTTGCGGCGCTCATCTCGCTTTACTGGCCGAGGGAGCCGGCGTACAGCTTCCGGGTCATGTGGCCAGCATGACTAAGCCGCTTCTGGCGGACCAGAGCAGCGCACGGAAACTCCGTTTGCCTTCCCGCCGGAGCGGTACCTATTTATCTACTTGCACTTTGACATGCTTTCAACTGCTAGGTTGGCAGGAGCAGGGGCCGAGCAACAGGAGCTCACCCCATCGCGGGGATTCGAACCGCCAACCTTCTGATCGGCAAGCCCTAGGCTCTGTGGTTTAACCCACAGCGCCCCCCATATATGTACAACATTGATGGGCTGAGCTGAACCTTCTCTGACTGAACAGGGTATCTGACAGGCTGGCTCTTAGCATCCCATTCATCTTAAAGAGACAGTAGTGTATATCATCCTGGAGTGTTTGCACTAAGGGGGCATCGGAGAGAGGACACATGGAAGTGGCTTTAGAAACAGGAATGGGACAATCAAGCTTAGTAGTTGCAAGGGGAAGCCCTAGGAGGTCAATGTGGGGGGAATGGCAGTGGGATTGGTGAGCAGAGTGAACAGGCGCACAGCCCCTAGTAACGAATACAGAGCATGCCATAGAATGTTTAAGATGAGCTCATACTGGATATACCATTTGTTTCCAAAGAAGTAAAGGCCGTTACTGAAAATATACAGCACATTACAAGGTTATTTTGATGGGGGAAAGGTCTTGTGTTATTATGCAGCAAAGGCAATTTTGAAACTGTTATGTGTGCCAGATCAGTTGCACCCTTCTCTTACTGCTTATTTACACATGAAAAATACGAAACGCTTTCTTGCCATTCCTGAATATAAACAAGCATTTGATTTCACATGTTGTTAGGCGGTTGTCTTGTTTTCACCTGGCCGAGGGACCCGGGATTATAAAGCCCATTAAGGAATATGAATGAAAGATGGGGACAGTTGTAACAAAAGCAGGATGGCATCTCTTAAGCATTTGCCCCAGGTTGATTGCCAGCTGGTATATGCCGGCTTCTTCCATATTCCATTGTGCAAAGGGAACGATAGTTACTTGCTACTAGCAATTTGAAAGCTTAGGCAATGAAAATATTTGACCTTTTATTATCTGTACAATCGCACAATTACCATGGGGCATTAAAAAAAAAAAAAAGACTTCTCCTGATTGCTATTTGCATTTCTGATTAGGTCTATTTATATGCAGATGAGGCTCTCCAACATTCTGCATCGTATTATCTCTGTTGCACAACCCAGACTGCCGTCCCCCCTTCAAAAATTATTCAAACTTAAGCAGCAATTCATCTCTCTCTCTTTTCTCTCCCTCTCTCTTTTGCCCTTTGCACTTGTGTAAAACAGGCTGTAGCAATTAAAGCGGTGAGGGAAGCTTCAAATTTCTAAACTAATACCCATAAATTTTTATCAGATAGAGGCTGTAAACAGCTTTAAAGAACAACAGTCATGATGAAGTACTGTAAAATATCAGCAGGTGATAGGAAGAAATATAGAACAGGTCATGGGAATGGTTGTCTTTCAGTCTATGATTTATCTCTTTCTTCCCCCAAAACTGCATATAAATCTGCATGACGAAATAATATATTCTGGTATTATTTCCATAGGACAAAATACTGAATTTATTAAGTAAGCTCCTAACCATCCTATTTTTTTATTCTTCACCAAATCTTTGTAATGTCTGAAGCTCAATCCTAGCTAGGAATAAATACTGCTTATAGGATGTTAAGTGATGATAGGGACACGGGTGGTGCTGTGGTCTAAACCACTGAGCCTCTTGGACTTGCTGATCAGAAGGTCAGCGGTTCGAATCCCTGTGACGGGGTGAGCTCCCGTTGTTCTGTCCCAGCTCCTGCCAACCTAGCAGTTCGAAAGCATGCCGGTGCAAGTAGATAAATAGGTACCGCTGTGGCGGGAAGGTAAACAGTGTTTCCGTGCGCTCTGGTTTCTATCACAGTGTCCTGTTGCACCAGAAGTGGTTTAGTCATGCTGGCCGCATGACCCAGAAAGCTGTCTGTGGACAAATGCTGGCTCCCTCAGCCTGAAAGCAAGATGAGCGCCATAACCCCATAGTCGCCTTTGACTGGACCTAACCATCCAGGGGTCCTTTACCTTTACCATAAGTAATGAAGGGCCATTTAGAAATGCAGTAAATAACTATCAGTAGCATCATAATAAAGAGCATCCATGAAAAGAAATGATAACTCCAGGACATGGCTCAGGCACGTTGACTATGCATTAATTGTGAAAAGACCACATTTCCACAATGTTCTTTGGCGAGACTTATGGTTAAAATTAAAAACACTAAATACAAACATTATTCCTCCCCCCCCCCCCCAGGTTTTCCAAAGATTGCTGGCTTCAAGGTAGGCTCCTCTAGTAGCCAGAGGCATTGCAGTTTCCAGAACAGATGCCTCTACCCTGAGAAAAATAACTGTCTCCCTTGTCTAGCCAGATATCCCCCAATCTCTGCAAAGCATTATCAGGCTGGTTCTGTAAGAAGGGCAGGCAAAAAGTTGGAGAATGAAGCAACAACATCAGTGCCTTCACCTGCTGCCGCCAGTGGATTATTAGGAAATTGTAGGTGAAGGTGTTGGCAGTTGCCTAGCAACCTTCAGATGCCATATTTTCATCCACCAGTACAATAGTCTATATATGTCTCCAAGTAAAACACGCAGAGTATATTCTTCCTTTGTAGCTCCTTGCCCACTATATTAGGGAAGAGGGAAAGGGTGTTACGATGAGAAAATGTTAATGTAGCCCCCACTCCCTCACAATATCCTGACTCTGACTCCAGGAACGTTAAGTTGCTCAGAGAATATCTACTGCCCTCAAAAGGATACAAGTGGGATATTGAACTGGGGCAGCTTCCTGAAGCTTCCATGCAGCTGGCTATCTTGGGGGACTTCAGGAGGGAAGGAATTTGGTCTCCCTCTGCTGACTAGTCTTTCTTTCCTGATTTCACTGATAGCTCCCACTTGGAACATGCTGGGCCTCCATTCTCCTTTCTTCTTCTTCTTTGGCGATCACTCGTAACCAAGTAAGATTCCAAACCAGCTGTTGGCGCCATGCCTCCAGATCTTTGGACTTCAGTTGTTGTAGCGTCTGAACCCCTTCACACATTTAAACAAAACACCTTCACGCTATTTAAACAGAAGTCTTCTGGGATACTTATTTCCAGCTCATCAATTTATTTCAAAAACAAATGCTTTGGGAATGGTTTTTTTCTTTGATTGAAAATACACACAACATACCCCAATGGTCGTCTTCTTCTTTGGCGGTCACTCGTAGCCGAGTAAGATTGTCTTCCATGAACACGGTTTTAACAGTAAGTGACTGTGGAGGCCAATTCTGGATCCACACGTCCTTCCACAATGGGGACATAGGTTTCAGGGCAGGAGTTGATCATGGTGTGGATTTGCCAAACGTGCCTTCCTGTTAGCTTGTTTCTCCCTTTCGTCCTGAGTTCGAGTGTCTCCAAAGCCCATGACTCCTTTGGTAAAGGTTGTTCTCCATTATAGCCTGGCTGACCAGAGAGACCATTATTATTATTATTATTATTATTATTATTTATTATTATTATTATTATTATTATTATTATTATTAGCATGAGCATAAACATTTCTTTGTGATTTCTGTCCAGGCCTTTTGCTCACAAATTTCTTTGATTGGGAGTAGACCTAGGGTTCAACTTTGTGTCCCCCTCCATATAACTTCTCCTGTTCCCTTAGAATGGTTCCTCCCCCCCCCCCCAACAAAATACCGCCACCTCTTCATTTCTTAAAAGTGCTAATTGTTTTGCTCAAATATATTTACATAGAAATGAGGCTAGTTCTGAAATCTGCAGCTGAAGAGGCTGCATGAATGACAGTAACATAGTATAGAGTTGGGCATCATTTTGTCTGGAAATAGAGGGAGGCAGCTGAGTTCAGAATCAGGACAGGCAACAATATGAAGTATTGATTTGCTGTACCTGATTCATTTTTGCGAAGCATTCTCTTTTCCTATTATTTTGACTTCATTAATTCTGTACGGTCGTTTTAGCTGACTGGACTGATCTGCCTTCTAATTGAGGGGCTGTAAATGCCAATCACAAGCCAAGGGACTGAGCACCATGGTTTTCAGCAACCTAAAAATTATTTCACCTCTATCGCCTTACGGTAGTAGCTGTTGCTGATTTATATTTTGCACACTTCTAGCAATTTCTGGAGGATATGATCTTAGCCAGGTGAAAATAGGGACAGTCCTGGCCGTGAGTACTTACTTTAAGGCTGTTCAGGATGAAATCTAGTGTGGCCCAAGGGTAAAGCTTGGGGGATTTATAGGGAATGAGGGTGGGGGAATGCAGGAGTCCAAGGTTTGTATAGGCTTATTCCCATCATGATAAACCACAGGCTTGAGCGTAGGCCTGGATCAATGTTAGTGGGCACAGCACTCTGCATACTTTGGAGCTACGCAGAGTTCTTCGTGACATGACACAGATCTAATGAACAGTTCTGTGTAAATGGAAACTGCATAAACTGCTGCACCTCCAAAAATTGACCCACGACTAATCATATCATCAGTATGTTTACATATGGCAGGGAGAAATTCCTTATATTCCTAAGTAAGAAAATTGCAATGTGCTCAGTAGGAGAGAGAGAAAGCCTTATCAGTAGACAGAGCATTGGTTTCATACTACAGATAGCTTATGTCCTGCCCAATGCTCTGTTTGGGTGAAACACACTGTCAGGCATGGTGCTCCCATTCCAATAATCACCATAATATGTAGAAAATAGTAAGGAACTGGAACTGTGCATCCCACAGTAAGCTTTAAAAGGTAAAGGGACCCCTAAAAAGGTAAAGGGACCTTTAGGTCCAGTCGTGACCGACTCTGGGGTTTTGGCACGCATCTCGCTTTATTGGCTGAGGGTGGCCAGCATGACTAAGCTGCTTCTGGCAAACCAGAACAGCACACGGAAATGCTGTTTCCCTTCCCGCCGGAGCGGTACCTATTTATCTACTTGCACTTAATGCTTTCGAACTGCTAGGCTGGCAGGAGCAGGGACTGAGCAACGGGAGCTCACCCCGTCGCGGGGATTCGAACCGCCGACCTTCTGATCGGCAAGTCCTAGGCTCTGTGGTTTAACCCACAGCGCCACCCATGTCCCTTACAGTAAGCTTTGGGTCATTGCAAATGTTATATTCACACCTTCCAATATGTGTCCTCCAGAAGATGGCATTGAATCCCATTCAGCCAAAAGAGACGCAAATTGTTCTGCCCCGCTGCATTTGTGTGTAATGCAACAGATGTAAAAATCACACCAGATGAACAAAAAAAAAAATTTACATAATTACCCAAACCAGCGATCAGTGGGCTCCAGCTTTAGTTACCTTACACATGTGCAGTGTCAATAGCACGTACACAAACCCAGATGTTTCTTTAAAATCTGGACAGCTGAAGGGTTGGGATTTTCCTGTCAAGATGGAGGTTTTTGCTCATGCTTGTAGAGGGAAGTGAGGGGCAGATGGGTCTCATCCACCTGGGAGGGTAGCCTATCTAGGAGAAGAAAAACTCTGATCCTAAACTTCTGCTGCCTCTTCGGGAGAAGAAAAGGCTATGGAGTGAACCCTACACAAATCTAGAGCAGAATCCCTAAGATGGTTGGATGGTGATTTGTATGCCTCCATGTTTTGCTTTTCGTTTCTCTGGATCACATCAGCAAGGCCAAGATGGGGGTCTGGTCATCTGGGCCACCCAGGACCTTCATACACATTGCCCAGGATTGCACCTTGGGGAGGTCACTTTGGTGCGGCTAACACAGCAGTTTGACTTCACGCCCAGAAGTGCACTCATTTGTCTCTTGAGACAGACAGATGCCAGCTACTCAGAATATCATTGGCTGCCCCATGTAAACTGAGGTCCAGCTCAGAGGGCCTTCTGGTGGTTCCCTCCCTGTGACAAGTGAGGTTATAGGGAACCAGGCAGAGGGCCTTCTTGGTAGTGGCGCCCGCCCATCAGATGTCAAGGAAATAAACAACTATCTGACTTTTAGAAGACATCTGAAAGCAGCCCTCTTTAGGGGTGTTTTTTTTAATGTTTGATGTTTTATTGTGCTTTTAATTCTGTTGGAAGCCATCCAGAGTGGCTGGGGTATAAATAATAAATAATAAATTATTATTATTATTATTATCACTTCACTTGGCTCAAATTTTGGAACTCCCTATTGGCATCAGGCAGGTGCCAATGACCCCACAAACATCCTCTCTGCCTATCAGTGCCTGTTTGTTTTCAAGCATGCTTTATTTTCTTTACAGTTCTTTTTCATTCTTACTCAGGCCACGGGTAGATTCCCGTTTTAATGTTTGATCTTTTACTGTGTTTTTAATGTTCTGTTGGGAGCTGCCCAGAGTGGCTGGGGAAACCCAGCCAGATGGGCGGGGTATAAATAAATTCTTATTCTTATTCTTGGAGGGAAAGCTGTGGCTGTTCTGTTGCCTGTGCTCCTTTCAGCAACTATGTTGCAGATCCCCCCATCCATGCCTAGGTCAACCTGATGACCTCCAGATGTTGTGGTGCTGCAACTTCCACCAACCCCAGCCAGCCAGCATGCACCAACATCTGGAGAGCCCCAGGTTGGCAAAGGCTGTTCTAATAAATCAAAGATGGCAGTAGCACCAAACAGAAGGCAGAGGTCTTAAGCTCAGCATCAGTTCTGTAGCATCAGTTTCAAGCAGAGTACAAGGTCTTGATGGTTTTTATGGCAACTATGCATCTTTGTGGCTGTATCGATTTTAAAATGTGATTTGGTACTCTGAGCAACTAATCCTTTCTTCTGACCAAAGACTAGTTCACTTTTTCCTTCCACTCATTGTCAGAAACAATTAAGTTTTATTCATAGCACCAATACATCTAATTATGAAGCTGTTGTACATTAGACACTCTATGCCTTTTCTACTACAACATAAGGTAAAGGTAAAGGGACCCCCTGACCATTAGGTCCAGTCGTGGCCGACTCTGGGGTTGCGGTGCTCATCTTGCTTTACTGGCCAAGGGAGCTGACGTTTGTCTGCAGACAGCTTCCGGGTCATGTGGCCAACATGACTAAGCCGCTTCTGGCGAACCAGAGCAGCACACGAAAACGCCATTTACCTTCCCGCCGGAATGGTACCTATTTATCTACTTGCACTTTGAGGTGCTTTCGAACTGCTAGGTTGGCAGGAGCTGGGACTGAGCAACGGGAGCTCACCCCGTCGTGGGGATTTGAACCGCCGACCTTCTGATCGGCAAGTCCTAGGCTCTGTGGTTTAACCCACAGCGCCACCCGCGACTGCAACATAATGTTGCTTTTATTCATTCCATCACTTTTGTATACCTCAGTCATTAACCCTTTCCCTAAAAATTTCACAAGCATATCCCAGCTGAAAAATATATTCATCTCCCTGATGTAATGCTTTGCACAAGATAAACACTGAAGAATTTATTAACCCTATTTTTCTTTTAAATGGTCAGTTCAGCATTAGATAATTATTTGCTTATATGTGCAAGCATACATTGAGAGGTGTTTATATGTGCAGGCATACACACAGAGATGGATGAGGTTAAAAATATCAAATCCCCAATTGTCAAATTTGCAAGATCTGACCACCTTCATAATTTAGACCCTTCTATTGAAGATTTGAAAATATATTCTAGACAGATGACATGTTAACAGAATCATTTCATGGTTGAGTGTCTTCACAGTATGATTTATCTTTACCTTTAGGCAAGGGAGGTCCCTGTTTGGGAGATTTATGAGCTAGGCCCCAAAATCTATTTTGATGACATGGAATGTGTGTGTTTATTGGGGGAGGGGGGAAGAGAAAAATCAAACCTTAGCATTTGCTTTAAATACTAGGTTTCCTTCTCACGATCAGTTACGCAAGCCAGCCTTGTTCATGTAACTTCTGCCCTTCTTTTTGATGAATATAATTAAAAGGATTGCGCTCTGGTTGCGCTCTGGTTGTTGTGTATGGACTTGACAGAACAAGCATTGTAGGTCTCAGACCAACTTTGTATGGAGACCAAACAAAATTGAATTAGTGCATGAACAAATAGAATAAAGAATGCAGACATCTCCTTTTTTGTGCGCAGCAGAGCCCAGAGCATTGCCTGCTTTCTGGGTTTGCTGCTAAATAAGCTTTAAGTGCACTGGGGAAGTCAACTGGTTAATCTTGTCAACAAATTGCCCAGACTTGGAGAGTGCTGTGGGTTTAGCAACAGTGAGATTGGTTCTCTTGGGTCACGTGACTTCCAGCTTCATGACAATTCTAGTTTATGCTGTCTGGTCTGTGTTCTGCCTTGAACTCTCTGGACTTCTTTTCTCTGGTTAGCAAGCCCAGTGGCATGTCAAATAAGGGAGAGGTGCATCTGCAGAACACCCAGTTCAAGCCCCATGGGGAAAAACAGCGTCCCTACAGTGCATTCCAACCCTGAGTGAATTCAGTGTGTGTGGAGTTTGAGAGTGGCAGGGCTCACCTCCTGATACTTGCCTTTGACAATCTTAACTAGGTAGATGGATCTATTTGCAATCATGAATTTTGCAATGTGTTTAGAGATACCGTGGTACCTTGGGTTAAGAACTTAATTCGTTCTGGAGGTCCGTTCTTAACCTGATACTGTTCTTAACCTGAGGTACCACTTTAGCTGATGGGGCCTCCCGCTGCCGCTGCACGATTTCTGTTCTCATCCTGAAGCAAAGTTCTTAACCCAAGGTACTATTTCTGGGTTAGTGGAGTCTGTAACCTGAAGTGTCTGTAACCTGAAGTGTCTAACCCAAGGTACCACTGTAAAGGTTTGGCATGGGGGAGAGAGATTGGATGTGGAATCTGAGATCTTTCCTAGCCTTAAAACCCCGGCAGAAGAATTCTTGTGCCCATAATGCTAGCCACGTATTAGAGATAAGCGTGAGGAGAAATCTGAATTCATATTTCCAAATTGGGCTATGCACATTTCAGCTGTCCGGGCTGGGGCTGGTGCCGAGAGGCTGATCTGGGCGGTTACTGGGGTCAGCAGTAGGCTCAGTCCACACCCCAGCCCCTCCTCTCCCCGCCTGGAAGCCAGTAGGTGGTGGCCAAGTCCCCTTTGTGGCAGGGGGCTCGTGGGATGCCGGGTGCAAGCCAAGGCCGCCTGAGGGGAGAAGAGAAGGAAGGGCACCCCAGGAGAGAGGGAGACATGTGGGTGATTAGACACCCTAGCTGTACTTTCACACAGTGGTGGCAAAGAAGGAGGCTGGGGTGGCTTGGCATGGTCAATCGAGGGGGGTGGAATATTTTTTGGGTGCCAATGGGGTCTGAGCCCCTTAGAGTTGGTGCCTGTGATGCCTAGAATAAACTCTTTTCACAATTTTGTTCCACCCAGCAATGTTTATTTATTTATTTACCAGCTCAAAGCGTATTTTTGTATCCAATGTTTGCTTCTAAACATCCTTTTTTTAGCAAATATATTCTTTTCTGCTGAATTGTGTAAAGCAAAGTCAGAAAGCGACTCGACGATGATATAAGTAAAAAGGTAAAGGACCCCTGACAGTTACAAATCCAGTCGCAGGGTTGCGGCGCTCATCTCGCTTTACTGGCCGAGGGAGCTGACGTTTGTCCGCAGAAAGTTTTTCCCAGTCATGACTAAGCCACTTCTGGCGAAACCAGAGCAGTGCACGGAAACGCCACTTACCTTCCTGCCTATTTATCTACTTGCACTTTGACGTGCTTTCGAACTGCTAGGTTGGCAGGAACTGGGACCGAGCAACGGGAGCTCACCCCGTCGCAGGGATTCGAACCGCCGACCTTCTGATCGGCAAGCCCAAGAGGCTCAGTGGTTTAGACCACAGCTTAAGTAGCTTTTAGCATTGCAGATGGAACTTTTATTCAGTGGAGTGGGTAAAGGCTGCCTTGTTTCTTATCTGTGATATCGTTGTTATCGTTGTTAGTGCTGCTTCCCTAAAGTATTTAAAAGGCAGCTGAGGGATCGCCTGCACATGTATGTTTTCCCCGAAATAAATGCAACTCTCCAGGGAAGGGCAATCGGTGGCCCTCAAAATATTCCAGGATTCCCCGTGCCCATCAGGCCCAACAAGGATGGCCGATATTAAGGGAGTTTCCTCACCCCTGAACTATAAAAGGTAAAGGGACCCTTGACCATTCGGTCCAGTTGTGGCCGACTCTGGGGTTGCGGTGCTCATCTCACTTTATTGGCCGAGGGAGCCACCGTACAGATTCCGGGTCATGTGGCCAGCATGACTAAGCCACTTCTGGCGAACCAGAGCAGCGCACAGAAATGCCGTTTACCTCCCCGCCGGAGCGGTACCTACTTGCACTTTGACGTGCTTTCAAACTGCTAGGTTGGCAGGAGCTGGGACCGAGCAACAGGAGCTCACCCTGTCGCGGGGATTCGAACCGCCGATCTTCGGATCGGCAAGTCCTAGGCTCTGTGGTATTGATGGAGATATAGTGCAGAATTCACCGATTTACACCTTTATCCATTGGGAAAGGTGGGCAACTGCCCTCTGGGCTTGCTGTATGAATCTATATGTAGCTATTCTCCTGCCTTGTAGACTCTCACACCCTGTTTGGGACACCCAGTTCCTACATAAATTACCACTCTTCAGAAGCTGTTACATAAATGAGCACAAGCTGCTAGGATACAGTAACTGCAATTTTGTTTTGCTCTGGTGGAACACTCCGTGCTGACAAGGTCAGGCTCTTGCAGTCTGAGTGCAGCCAAGTGATGAAGGACACAGCCAACCACCTAAGAGGTGGAGGCTGGACAGCCACTAATTATTCCCCGCCGAGCTAGCCTGCCTATGCATTTGTGACCCTGTTAGATTTACAGACCATGCCGCTAGGGGGCAGGAGATATCCCTCTAGTCTGGGGACATTTTTGCAGCAACAGAAGGGGGGAGGGGAGAGAGAATTCGCTTCACCCATGGGAATCAACGACTCCATCAGGTACGTGAGTCAGTGTGGTGTAGTGGTTAAGAGCGGTAGACTCGTAATCTGGGGAACCGGGTTCGCTTCCCTGCTCCTCCACATGCAGCTGCTGGGTGACCTTGGGCCAGTCACACTTCTCTGAAGTCTCTCAGCCCCACTCACCTCACAGAGTGTTTGTTGTGGGGGAGGAAGGGAAAGGAGAATGTTAGCCGCTTTGAGACTCCTTCGGGTAGTAATAAAGCGGGATATCAAATCCAAACTCTTCTTCTTCTTCTTCTTCTACATGGGAAAGGAAGGAATTACAAAAACAATTAATTCGAGTTAGCTTGCCCAGCAGTAGCATGTTGCATTCTGGAGCTGAAGATGTAAAATTGGGGAGCAGCTAACTCATTTACATCCTCACTCAGCGGCACAGTTCCATTTCAGACACAGGCTGAAGAACCTGTAGCGATGGTGGTAAAAGCATTTCTTTACCCTCGCGTAAGATATTAGTGCACCCTAGAGCTTTTCTGAACCCCATAAATTACCACGAAGCAGCTGCAGTCAGTAGAAGGAGAATAGCCAGGCTGCCAAAATGCTAACCTTCTGACCTCCTGAAATTCCCAACCAGGTTCCATTTAATGGGGAAAAAACCCAATGTGAGCTGATGCCTTCCTTTCAGCAGGGCTCTTCCTGGGTCCCAAGTCGATATCTAAGGCTGAATGCTTTTAAGTGAAAGTTTTATTATGGCATAAAGCATGGGTAGGCAAACTAAGGGCCGGGGGCCGGATCCGGCCCAATCGCCTTCTCAATCCGGCCCACGTGTTTTTACATGAGTAGAATGTGTGCTTTTATTTAACATGCATCTCTGGATGATTTGTGGGGCATAGGAATTCGTTCATTTTTATTTTCAAAATATAGTCCGGCCCGCCACAAGGTCTGAGGGACAGTGGACCAGCCCCTGCTGAAAAAGTTTGCTGATCCCTGGCATAATGAACTTCATGGACTAACCCTCCCCCCCCCCCACTTTTATATATGCCATATTTTGCTTTCATCAATGAAAGCAGTTTCCTTAGCTGTTAGCTTGTATTATACTTTTGTAAACATATAAAAAACAAAGCTGCTTATGAAAACAGATTCTTAGGACTCTGTGATGGTGATTTTCTCTTTCTGCAGGGTAGGAGACAGAATGGGGTAATCTGGGAATCAAATTGCTCTATAGAATTTAGGAAGCCCTGCTTTCAATTTATAAATCCCCATCATTACCAAAGATGGTTGAGAGGCTATGAATGCCTTATTAGCTAAGGCCTAGATAGATTACCTCCTCTTCTAAACAATTTGCCCGAGCAAAAGAGGGGAAAGGCTTCCAAGTACAGAGGAGAAATGGAATGAAACATCACAATTAATTGAGGTACTTTGTAGCCTTGGAAACAGTAAGAGAGTGGTGACATCAGCAACAATTATGTGTAATTTTTAGCTTTAGTTTATCACCAAGGTAACCAGAGCCAGTTTTTCCGCTTGCAGTGCTGGAGAATGTGTTGGAATAGGGAGAGGGTTATAAACAAGGGGTCAGCAACCTTTTTCAGCCGTGGGCCGGTCCACCATCTCCCTTCAGACCATGTGGTGGGTCAGACTATATTATTTTTTTGGGGGGGGGAATTGAATGAATTCCTATGTCCCACAAATAACCCAGAGATGCATTTTAAATAAAAGCACACATTCTACTCATGTAAAAACACCAGGCAGCCCCCACAAATAACCCAGAGATGCATTTTAAATAAAAGGACACATTCTACTCATGTAAAAACACGCTGATTCCCGGACCGTCCGTGGGCCAGATTGAGAAGGCGATTGGGCCGCATCCGGCCCCTGGGCCTTAGGTTGCCTACCCCTGTTATAAACCATATGGCTAAAGAGACTGCTAAAACAGGTCCATTGATTGGTCCATTGATTGGATTGCTCAGTACAGTGACTTGGCCGCCAATGCGAGTGCAATGACTCTCCTTCAAAAGGCATTGCATGTGAAGGGATATCAGGTTGTTTTTAATGCACGTGGCATTTGATCTGGGATGTTTCATTCAAACAGGCAAGTCCCTACTTGGTTTTGTGGCAACGAATAGAAATCCTGTAGCTTTCAGGTCCAATGTGTCCAAGCTTGCGTATTTGCTACATGGGTGCTAAAAGACACACATGGCCACTTGGCCACCTGGCCACCTTCAGGCTCATCCTGATGTTATTGCAGAGGTGCGGGGAGCCCACTGCAGTACACCTGCTTCCTGCATAATTCCAGCAAATTGGAAGCCACAGCTCACAAGGGAGGAGTGTGCAATGTGGATCGTTCCCATGGCATCACACCATTGTACTGTGCCTTCCCAGCTTATGTATGTTCCATACATCATATTCCACTGGATAGCTCAGTCGGTTGGAACATGGTGCTGATAATACAAAGGTCATAGGTTTGATCCCCATGTGGACAGCTGCATTGCATTGGGTTGGACTAGAGCAGCGGTTCTCAACCTGTGGGTCCCCAGATGTTGTTGGACTACAACTCCCATCATCCCCGAGCTCTGGCCTTGCTAGCTAGGGGTGATGGGAGTTGTGGTTCAAAAACATCTGGGGACCCACAGGTTGAGAAAGGCTGGACTAGAGGATCCTCTGGGTCCTTTCCAACTCTACGATTTTATGCTGTCTCAGATGTGTTGATCCTATGCATGGCTTGCCGAGACCATATAACACCGGTCCTGAAAGACCTACATTGGCTCCCAGTATGTTTCCGAGCACAATTCAAGGTGTTGGTGCTGACCTTTAAAGTCCTAAATGGCCTTGGCCAAGTATAGCTGAAGGAGCGTCTCCACCCCCATTGTTCTGCCTGGACACTGAGGTCCAGCGCTGAGGACCTTCTGGCAGTTCCCTCTATCAAGAATAATTTTTTATTAACCGACCAATCACATAAAATCAAACCAAATTACATAAATTCCAAATTACACTGCCGAATTTTAAATTTTTGTTGAGGGTACCCATATTTCAAGTTCCGAAGGGGATCCAATCAACTTCTTGCTTCTTGCTGCTGTTTTAATGTCCACAAATCTAACCTTATGATGTTCACAGTACTATCCAGTCCTTTCTTATTGTTTTTCCACATCTCTTGTTGTTATTTTCATATATTTTTCCTTTCTCTTTGTGACCTCTGATAGTCTCCACAAGCTGGTTAGAACAGTTTGTAATCCTGCGTGGATATATATTTTTTAATCCAGTAGCCATATCCAGACGTTTTCCATATAACATCACTTCCATACATCAAAACAGTCTTAGCGTCATTAATCTTCACCAATCTGCCTCCTTTCTCAAAACCTCTGAGGAGATTCACCAGGAATGCAGTCTGACAAGTCCGTTCCTCCTCCTGGCTATAAATCCTTTGGCAAGATAGCGACTCCGAATTAATTGCTGCGCCATTCCAAAAGCTCTTATTGCTTCTCAATCTCCATAAAGCATACTTTTGGTTAAAGTTTATCTCCACACAGACCTTAATCATCCTGCTTGGGTCAGTTCAACCGACGATTCTAATGAGGAGGGGTTCTTGTAAATCACATAGAAGGAAAGTAAAAAAGGTTCCCCCCCACCATTCAGTCCCGTTGTCAACATACCCAGCCTTTGGTGTATCTTCATCGTAAAATATTCCTGTTTCTCCATCCCGTCGTCTTCTTTCGCAGAGGTCACTTAAATTAGCAGACTTCACTCCCCTTCTTCACTTGAAATATGTGCATTTGCTTCTTTTGTAATTAATTATTCCAAATTGCTGCAGCTAGTGCGCGATCAGAGACAGCGTCCAGGAGAGCCGAGGTCCACACGGGGGCATTCTGCCTAGGGCCCTCACCCCCTTCTTTCGAATTAGGGAGTGATTTATGGGCACAGCAGGCAAGGGCAGTGTTCCCCATTTCCTTGGGGCAACAAGGGAGGCTGCCTACTCCCATAACAGCCTCTTAATTACCCCGTATGGGTTGGAGAGATGGTATTGTCGGCCATCTTCAAATGCGCCCCTAGTGCCCCCCCTTCTGGCAGTTCCCTCAGTGCAAGAAGCGAAGTTACAGGGAACCAGGCAGAGGGCCTTCTCGGTAGTGGCGCCCACCCTGTGGAACGCCCTCCCATCAGATGTAAAGGGAAAAAACAACTATCTGACTTTTAGAAGACATCTGAAGGCAGCCTTGTTTAGGGAAGTTTTTAATGTTTGATATTTTATTGTTTGTTTGCCCAGAGTGGCTGGGAAGGCCCAGACAGATGAGCGGGGTATGTAATAAATTATTATTATTATTATTATTATTATTGTCATGCATGCCAAGTGCTGTCCCTGAAGGTCATTCCTCACACTAAACAAAGAAAAGAAAAGAAAAGCCCACATACATTATTCTACAATAGAAATGGCAATATTCTAACTGCAAAATTGCATTGTCTGGACGACTATGTATTTTAGTCGGGCACAGAAACACACCCAACTCATTTGTCTTTCTTTGCCATTTGGCAAATGCTTGTATTTTGCATGCCTGCCGATACTAACAAAAGGATAAAAGAGCAACGTATTAATTTGCAACAAAGACACGCATTGATGATAAGCAAGCAGTCATTCAGGTTCCTTCCTTACTGCCATAGACAGCTTTTAATCCCCATTGCCTCTCAACTCCTTGAAAAAGCAGAATGGCTTGTGGGGAAACCATAAAGTTAAGCAGGTTAAATATGTGTTATGAAGCTTGACCACTGGAAATCCTAACTGGGTTTATTCACCTGCATTTGTGAAATGAGCTTCTCCACACATACCTACACAAACATACCCCACTCCCCGACTACCCCACCCCGTCCGACCTTAGCTAGAAACTAAAACTGAGAAGAAATTGACAGGAATAAATGACAGATTCTGCAAAAGACCTTGCAGCTGCCCAAAGCTTCCTGAATCCAGTGGCCCATGGATTACGAGGAAAAATGTGAAAGCCACTCCAGATGTTTCCAAGCAGAATACCTTCCTGTCATACGTAGCTCCATATTGTGTTGATTTTATAATTTAATGGCTTGCTTAATCCTATGCATGTTTACTCAGAAGAATATAACCCCCCATTATGTTCAGTCTTGCTCATTCCTAGCAAAGTGTGCATAGGATTGCAGCCAGTCAGGGTGGTCCCAATCATTGAATTTGAATTAAATCCCACTGTGTCCAATGGGTTATACTCCTTGCTGGTAAACATGGATTGCAGCCTTAACCAGGTTACTTAAAGATTATGATTTCCCCTTCCTCCTAATGTGATATTCTGATTGCAACACATACCTTCTTCTGAATTTAGAAGAGACTTATGACCTGCAACTTCAGTATTACTTCAAATGTCTGTGTTTGCCTATCAAAACACACCGCTGTCTCTCTCTGTGTGTGTTTTAACGAATTCATGCAGTGATTTGTAAATGGCTTCCTGAAATGCCGGATGTTTTCTGCATAATTTTGCGACTGAATTATTTGTTGAAATAGCTCGTCAGCGTGGCAAGAAAACTACTCGGTCCTGGAGACCGGCCAGGCATTCATGATTAAACATTTGTTTTAGCATCTTGTGTTGTCGCCCTCACCACACCACAATCACCCTCTTTTTCCCCTAGATGTTCCAGTTGTCAGAACCATTGACAGAATTGAAAATACTTACCTGGTTTTTTAAAAAAATGCATAGAGGAGGGTGGTGGAGGTTGTAAGAGATGAAACAATGAAAGCTTATGATTCACTGTGCCCAGCAAATAACCATCTCCATTCATTTCAGGAAAGGAGAAAGTAAACAAAAGTCCAATTAATTTTGTTTCTGAATCAGGAGTATGAATAATAAGAACAAGAAGGAGCCCCCTGGGTTAACAAATATGTTTTATAATTATGTGAATGTAACCACATATGCATTCAATGTATAAAAGAACTCAAATATATATTTGTAAAACCAGTGGTATCCATGCATAAACCACCCACTTAACCTAAAACAAATCTAATAAATTTCTGTATCCTCAGAGGCTTCCATTTCCTGTACAGAAGGAGATAAGTAGAATGCCGCTTTCTGTTGTGAATGAAAAATCTGCTAATTGACATTAAAAATAACTTTAAAAAAAGACACACCTGACTTCCACTTTTGGAAGGTCAATCATTTTTCTTTTCATTTACCCATCTCACCAGGAGACAGCTATCCTTTCCTGAAATAACGGCATATGATTTACTTGAAACATCTGTAGGCGACACTGATGATTGAAAGTCTTCTAGTCCTGGCAACTGGAAGAGCCTCTGCTTTTTATTGCAAAGAGATTGGTGCAAAGCGTGTCATCGGTTTCACCCTTGCGTATTTGCTGTCTGAGGCCAAGGGAGCCTTTTTGGGTTGTGTGTGTATAACCACAAATTATTGGATGAAATGAAGCAAATAACTATTTCCCAGTGGTGTGACCTGTAAAGACTATGGAAATGTCTCTCAAGGGGTTTCGGGAAGCTCCATTGATTGTGACAGTTTAATACCAGGCGGGCCCAAAACACTCAGGGGACACAATGAAGTGTGAAAATGTACATCTCAGAAGGAGGCACAAAAAGCCTTCCAAATGCTTTGCTTCTTTGTGAATGTGGGAGATTCAGTTCATACATGGAGCTCCGCTTGGCTTCCCCGTTCAGTTCATTGGAAAGATGTGGTTCTCATCCATTCCTCCCACCCCTGTTGTGCCCCTTTAGTGATGTGTTTTGTGACATTTTCAGCCACTTCTGTGTTTACCACTGTGGACATGTGCGTGAATACATGACTTTTGGATGCATGTTAATCTGTCGTTGCCTGTATTATGGAAATACAGTGGTACCTCGGGTTAAGTACTTAATTCGTTCCGGAGGTCCGTACTTAACCTGAAACTGTTCTTAATCTGAAGCACCACTTTAGCTAATGGGGCCTCCTGCTGCTGCCGTGCCGCCGGAGCACAATTTCTGTTTTCATCCTGAAGCAAAGTTCTAAACCTGAAGCACTATTTCTGGGTTAGCGGAGTCTGTAACCTGAAGCGTATGTAACCTGAAGCGTATGTAACCTGAGGTACCACTGTATTTTCATGTTGTAAGCCACCCTGATCACTTTTTTAACTATGGGAAAATGGCTTGCAGATAAAATGGTGATGGTCATGATGCTTATGTTAGACATGGGACTGGGGCATTTTAAGCCATTCCCTTATTTCTGTACCTGAGAACTACAACTGTTTGATCTCTAATCCCTTACCCAGTGTGTTTGGTTGGCAGAATTTAGCTTAGTCCTGCCTGCTGTTTAGAGACAGGTTTTTAGTTATTATTATAATTATAATTATTTATTGAATTTATATACCACCCTATACCCGGAGGTCTCAGGGCACAACAAAACCAGAACACAAAACCAAAAAATATATAATCAAGCTAAAAACAATAACCCTAATAATCATATTTATACCCCGCCCATCTGGCTGGGTTTCCCCAGCCACTCTTGGCGGCTCCAAACAGAACACTAAAAACTGAATAAAACTTCAAACATTAAAAACTTTCCTAAACAGGATTGCCTTCAGGTGTCTTCTAAAAGTTGGTTAGTTGTTTATTTCCTTGACCTCTGAAGGGAGGGCATTCCACAGGGCGGGCGCCACTACCAAGAAAGCCCTCTGTCTGGTTCCCCATAACCTTACTCCTCGCAGTGAGGGAACCGCCAGAAGGCCCTTGGCGCTGGACCTCATTTTAAAAGGACATAGGATACATCCTAAATAGTTATCCGTAACGTCTTTCTGCTTTTGCTCCTATTCCAAATCCGGCTCGCTTTTTTATGCCCTTACAATTCCGCTAGAGATCTCCTACGAAAGCTTTCCCAAGAATGTTTCACCAGTGCCGAAAGGTCAAAAGGTACGGGGAAATGGAAAAGATACTGAAGAGGATGCCCCCCCCAAAAAAGAGAGGGATAACGAACTTAGTTAACGAAGACAGGTAATTTCAACATTTGCCTCTTGGCCAGCAGCCACTGAGAGATTAAAAAAATGAAACGTGTTCACAACCCCTTAGATTAACAACTAACTATTCTGCATCAGTATGCTTTATCTGGGAACATATGGAGTATGAAATTCCATTTAAGGAATTTACATTTCTTAATGCAAGCAATTAGGTGTGTAGTAAAGTCTCGTTATTACACATGATTAGTCTCTCCCCCCCCACACACTATTTTTTTTAAAGGTGCTCATTTAGTACACTAGCTTTACGTTCAATTGGGATGTATTTTAAGACCCAGTAACTGCTGATATAGGGACGTGGGTGGCGCTGTGGGTTAAACCACAGAGCCTCTTGGACTTGCCGATCAGAAGGTCGGTGGTTCGAATCCCCGCGACGGGGTGAGCTCCTGTTGCTCGGTCCCAGCTCCTGCCAACCTAGCAGTTTGAAAACACGTCAAAGTGCAAGTAGATAAATAGGTACCGCTAGGCAGGAAGGTAAACGGCGTTTCCGTGCGCTGCTCTGGTTCTCCAGAAGCGGCTTAGTCATGCTGGCCACATGACCTGGAAGCTGTACGCCGGCTCCCTTGGCCAGTAAAGCGAGATGAGCACTGCAACCCCAGAGTCGGTCACGACTGGACCTAATGGTCAGGGGTCCCTTTACCTTTAACTGCTGACATATGGCCATATCTCTGACCACCACATTCCATACTCCTCAAAGTGAATTCACAACATGCATCTACCTGGCTCTTCTTGTCTGCCTGAGTCAGCTCCTGGGCCTGATGCTCAGGTACTAATTCTCCCATTGAAAACAATGCAGCTGCCTCCAGTAATACACTTCTGCATGCCTGGTGGTTGTTTTCTTGGGAAAATATATTGCTGTATTGATTGAGGAAATAAACAGTGTATGTTTTTTGCCTATCAAATATTTCCCCCCTCCAGCTTTGTCCCATTTTCCCCACACCCCTCTCCGTGCAAAAGCTCACTATCAGAGAAGTATTCAAGATCAATGCAGTGACTCCCTCCCTCTTCCTTTGTTGCCCATTGTAAATCTATTAGCTGTGATCTGTAATTAGGTGCACAGCTTAAAAGAAAGAACAAATGGTGTCCACTGAACCATGGCGCTCGCCTTCATGGCTAAAAAATAAAATAAAAAATGACCCATTTGGTTTTACCAGCTGTGACATTGGCGGCAGGTTCAATGACAGAGAACACATAAAACTCAATAGATTAAAACGTTTCCAGTTCACTAAACATCCAGAGGGGCATAACAAAGGGTCCCAGACCACTGTAGAGAAAAGGAAAAGGTAGGCTTTGTTGATCTCATATGCTACATTTCCTTCCTTCCATCCTTTTGCTTGGGGGTGGATCTCATATGGTGGTTTTGCCTTAGAGCAGGCATCCCCAACCTTTGGCCCTCCAGATGTTTTGGACTACAATTCCCATCATCCCTGACCACTGGTCCTGTTAGTTAGGGATCATGGGAGTTGTAGGCCAGAACATCTGGAGGGCCGCAGGTTGGGGATGCCTGCCTTAGAGATTGGTAGAGTTAACAGAGAGTCTCCACCTTCCAAGACAATAATGCCCACTCACATCACAAGGAGCTTATAACCCACCTGCTCTCAGCAGCCAGAATCATCATAACCAGACACTGGAGAGACCTGTCAGGAGTAAGCATGGACCAATGGTATCAGATAGTATGGGAAATTCCCAGGAGTCTTTGGGGGAAGTCATGTGCTTTAAATGTACAGTGTATTCATGACCTCATCAGCACCTGCTTGTTTAATAGTAATCTGCTAACCTCAACGTAGATTTTTTAAAACAGAAATTGCAGGTAGATGTTTTCCTGTGTTCACTGTTTTCTGAATTAACCTCTGCTGATGAGATTTGTATGCACTGCTGCTGGTTCTGTGATGCAGGTGCTGGTGGTAGGAACGCATTTAATGGAACATGGGAGTAGGCATTAATGTCACTGAATATAACCCATCACATTACTTCCCTAATAGTAAATGTGATAAATGATGCATATCCTGCAAGTATTTTGGATTTTCCCTTCTCATTTTGTGCTGGTGTTATACCAAAGGAGAAAAGTAATAACACATTCAGCTCAGATAACATGACAAACTGCAATGAAATAGGATAGCTGAAATGGTTTTGAATAGATACAGATGAATGAAAATGGGCCATTTATTACGGAGCCATAATGTCTTTACTGTGGCTTGATTTGTTTTGATTGTGTGTGCGTGTGCGCATGGGATGTGTAGAAATGGTAAAACCCAACTCTCATTTGCTCGTTAACTTTGCTCCAGTTTATGCTGCCTTTTTGATTCTTGCTCTCTCTTTTTGCTTTCAAACCTTGCTATTTATTGCTCTGAACTGAATGTGGGGGGTAATATTTATCAGCAGTCCTGTTCTTGCAAGCAGGGACACTGAAGTTGTCATTATTATTATTATTATTATTATTATTATTATTATTATTATTTATTTCTACCCCGCCCATCTGGCTGGGCTTCCCCAGCCACTCCGGGCAGCTTTCAACAGAACATTAAAAACAGAATAAAACTTCAAACATTAAAAACTTCCCTAAACAGGGCTGCTGCTTCTAAAAGTCAGATAGTTTATTTCCTGAAGGGAGGGCGTTTCACAGGGCGGGTGCCACTACCGAGAAGGCCCTCTGCCTGATTCTCTATAACCTCACTTCTCACAGTGAGGGAACCGCCAGAAGGCCCTTGGAGCTGGACCTCAGTGTCCGCACTGAACGATGGGGGTGGAGATGCTCCTTCAGGTATACTGGACCAAAGCCATTTAGGGCTTTCAAGGTCAGCACCAACACTTTGAATTGTGCTCGGAAACGTACTGGGAGCCAAAGTAGGTCTTTCAGGACCAGTGTTATATGGTCTGTTAACCACCCACTGTTGCTGTGTCACTTGCTTTTGGGTATGTTTGCTGTAAGGTGTGCTGCTTTCCACTTTGCATAGGGTTGAGGATCCAAAGGTTTCTGTGCTTCCAAGAAAAGAGCCTTCCTCTCATGGGAAGGAGGCCTTCTCTTGAAAAGCATCCTTTGCCAGACCAAGGGAATCTTTGACTCCAATGCTTCACTGCAGTCATTCATCCTGTTTACATTTACAGTGGTACCTTGGTTGTCAAATGGCTTGGCTCCCGAATAAATCAACTCCCGAACACCACAAACCCAGAAGTAAGTGTTCCAGTTTGCGAACGTTCTTTGGAAACCAAACTTCCAACGCGGTGTCCGATTGAATGCAGGAAGCTCCTGCAGCCAAACAGAAGCCACACCTTGCTTTTTGAATGGTTCTGGGAGTCGAACGGACTCCTGGAACAGATTAAGTCTGACAACCAAGGTACCACTGTACTTAAACTTGTTCACTTTAGAAAGACAAGGCATGTGTCCCTGCACCTTCTTTAGTAGTGGCAAAAGGATGGAATAATTTATTTGTTCTCCCTGCTTTTAAACAGCAGGTCAAACCCCAGATGCTGTAGGAAAATTCATTTGTTCTAGTTTTGTTCTTATAAAACATTTGTATTTTCCAGGAACCCTCCTCCTACTTTGTTTCAGCCAGAAAATTGGTCCAGAGGATTCAACCACTTCATTTCCCAGTGAGTACAACCCTTTTCCATTTTAAGCAGCTTAACCTTGCGTGCCGTTATCGCAAAATGATATGCGGCAAACCTTTGGCAATGAAATTTCCTTCCTGCAAACAAGAGCTCTTTTTAGTTTTTGTTTACATTGCATATTTCCTTCTCAACTTTTGTCTTGATGAAAACTTTACAGTTTCGCAGAGGTCGTGGTGTGATCTGCATTTGAAATTAGTTGCCTGGCTATTGATAGGTATAGGTCTGAATACCCTCCTGTTGTTGTTCTTATCCTTAATATACCTCTTCCTGATTCTGTCTTGCTCAGTCTGTGAACCAGGAGCATAAGGCCTTAGGAGAGGAATAGTTCAAGTGACCGTTGCAGCTCAGTCTCCCAAGACTGATGCAGCGTAAAGTCGAGCATAAAGCCAGCACCACAAAAGACCCCACACAACTTTGTTCTATCACATTACAGTGGAACCACTGGTTCTGAAAGCCAGTGTGGTATAGTGGTTAAGAGTGGTAGTCTTGTAATCTGGGGAACCGGGTTCGCGTCTCCGCTCCTCCACATGCAGCTGCTGGGTGACCTTGGGCTAGTCACACTTCTCTGAAGTCTCTCAGCCTCACTCACCTCACAGAGTGTTTGTTGTGGGGGAGGAAGGGAAAGGAGAATGTTAGCCGCTTTGAGATTCCTTCAGGGAGTGATAAAGCGGGATATCAAATCCAAACTCTTCTTCTTTTTCTTCTTAAACCACTCCGGCCCTGAATGTTTCAGTTCCTGGACGTCAAAAACCCGGAAGTAAGTGTTCTGGGGTTTTTTTAGCATTCCTCGGAACCCAAATGTCTGATGCAGATTCTGATCTGCAAAAAGCCTAGCTGTAAGCCAATCGGAAGCCGCGCCTAGGAATTCGAAGGTTTCAGAAGTCAAACGTCCTTCTGGAACGGATTACATTCGACTTCCAAGGTTCCACTGTACACTGGTTCTCTGCGTTCCCACTGGTTCAAATACATGAATTATGTAGGACATGCTTTGTACCAGGACTGTAGCATGGTGGGGGGTGGGCTTCTAGGGTGACTACTCATGTTGCCCTCCCTGAGCCAGCCCTATGCCACTTTGTGAGGTGTTGCTCTAGCAGCTGGTGTTGCTTCGGCAGCAAAGGCCCTCCATTCGCCCTCTGCACCCCACCTTAGAAAAGCTCCTTGTAGACCATGGGTCTGCTAAGGCCCGGGGGCCTGAACCGACCCAATCGCCTTCTCAATCCGGCCCGCGGACGGTCCAGGAACCAGCGTGTTTTTACATGAGTAGAATGTGTCCTTTTATTTCAAATGCATCTCTGGGTTATTTGTGGGGCCTGCCTGGTGTTTTTACATGAGTAGAATGTGTCCTTTTTAAAAAAATGCATCTCTGGGTTATTTGTGGGGCATAGGAATTTGTTCATCCCCCCCCCAAAAAAATATATATACAGTCCCAGTCCCCCACAAGGTCTGAGGGACAGTGGACCGGCCCCCTGCTGAAAAAGTTTGCTGACCCCTGTTGTAGAGCCACTCAATGAGGGCATTTGAGAAGCACGCAACAGCCATGCAACCTTGATCCCAGCCTCCCCTGGGATTGAAGAGCACATGACTGTTACGCCCTTCTCATTCCACACTCCTTGAGTGCTCTGGTGGCAGCTGCTGTTTTGTACCATCCTGACTTGATGGTTTGTTTGGTTTTGGTTGGTTCATAACACCAAGAATCTCTTTCTCACTTATCACCATTCTTTGCCTCGGTTCTTCAGATTCCCTTCTTGAGAAAGTTAGTTGAAGGACAAAGATCTGCCCCACATCTCCTCCAGTAAAGACAGATGCAAAGAATCCATTCAGTTTTGCTTTTTCTCTGTCCTTTTTCTCCTTTAGCACACCTTTGACTCTCTTGCTGTCCCAAAGTAGCTTTTAATATATGGTAACCACTGCCATTTGAGTTATGAGTCATTCCATATGGTGGGTTTGATTCCCACTTAAAAAGTTATTTTTATTTTATTTTATTTTTTAAAATTAAAAGCATCAAGCTATACAGCATCAAACTTTTTGGCCATTAGTGATAAATGACTCATTTATATGCATTAGTTATGCATTTGTCAGTGCCTGGCTTGTGACAATTTCATTTTGATAAATTAAAAGGAATGATTGTAACAAGTCCATTGTTCCTTTTATCCAAATGTTAGGACCATGCCTGATGTTCCCGTCACCCTTGTGCTGAGTGGTTGAATTTTCAGTAATTCCATTATCTACCTCCTCCCTGATGTTGACTATAATTTGCATAACAAGCTTATCTGGTTCAAGTTGTGGTCCAGACCTATGTAGCTACATAGAAGGGAGCGTGCATCTTCAGACAAGTGCATTTCTGAATTCAGCGCTAATGCAGCCATTCTCCCCCTCTAGCTGCCACCACCAAATCCTTTTAGGGTCTCGTTCAGAGCAAGTGTTCTGCTCCATATGCCAATTTTCTTTAGCTTGTGCAGAATAGCCTTGTTATTGTTGACACACTGGTGTTGTTCAGTGGATTCTCTATATATTTAGTTAGAGAACACAGTCCTAGTCAGCAATTATTTTAAAATTGTAGCCATGGACACACTGGGGGAAAGTGGGAACAGGGGCATGTCTGACATGCCTAATGGGGTGGCAAGGATTTGATTGGGGTGCTACAGCAGGAACCAGACAAGAAGTCTCTGGAGGCAAGATTGAGCCTCCAGCCTGCCAGCTGCTGATCTTTACAATTTTTTTTTACAATAAGCAGAAATTTACCTTTTCTCAGTGTGGAGAAGAACACCACTGAATTACTTTTCATCACTCAGCTATTAAAGGCTTGGGGGTTGAGTTTCTGAGACGGCAAGGAGTTTGCAACCACAGCGTGATACATTTACTTCCAGGTTTTCCTTAACTGTACATTCATGGTTATGTGGTCATTCTGTCTTGATACATATTGTATCATATGTGAACAGTTCCAGTTTTCATATTGGCCCAGTTCACATGTCATGCTAAACCATGGCTTAGTGAGATGTGCATAAGCAGAAAGGAGTTGCTGTGGGCCTTGATCCTGCATGCGCCCTCCTCTCCCATCACCGCTGTGATAGGAATTTTGAGGTCTTAGATATATGGTAGTGTTCATAAGCGTACCAGCCAAGCACGTACATAGATCAGCACAGGAAGACAGACCTGGAACCATTTGATTCCCAAACTGAGCAAATGATTTCTCTGCAAGGTCAAAGTGGGAAACCTCCCCATTGTCTCTTTCCTCACAAATCCTGTCTTAAGGGCACATTTAAGATATGAACAGGGCATGAGCCTGTGACCTGGCCCAGGAACTAAGCATTTATCACTACAAAAGAATGGCCAGGCTCCCCAGGCAATCCAATCAAGTAACCTGCCAGACAGGAGATAAACAACGACAGGAGAAAAACAACATTCAAATTTCTGTTTAGACCGCCTTTTCCGTGATGTAGGTATAATGTATCTGGGGGGTGGTCTTAGGTCACACCCCTTCTGTGATGTATGTATGATGTTTCTGGGGGTGGTCTTGATCTACAGGGTGGCAATTTCAAAAGTCTTTATAAGGCCTTGCTCGCCACTTTTCTGGGTTCCTCCTCCTCTCCTGCGTGTGAGGGGAGCACCCTGTTGCAACAGTTCAATAAAGATCAAGCTTACTAGCTGCTTTGCTTCTCAATATTCTCTGGTTGGCCTCTGTTTTCTTCTCCTACCAATAGGATGTAAGGACTCTATATGGGCTCTTGGATACCCCATAAGGGAAAAGGGCAATTTTTGTTTACAACACCGCCTTCCAAACAGCTGCAGGGTAGGAAAAGGAAAGCTTTTATTTGTTTTCCCTTAAACTTGGTTGTCATGTTGTGACAAACCAGGAACTGTGGTTTATAACAAACCCTGGTTAGGTTACCAAAGCAGCTTCGGAAATGACAGCTTTAAGCTGGCTTGTTCTGAATCTGCCTGGATGTTGTTTTATAAACCAGGATCTCACATCTGGATGGCACAATAAAATGGGAGTCAAAGAAAGTAAGGGGGAAGCTGCCAAAATCTTTCACCCAGTGATGCAAGAAGAGGAGAGGAATAATGAGTCCAACTCTTGCCGCAGCTTGTTCCTGCTCATGAAAATCTTACCAAACCATGGTTTAGGGTGACATACAAAACATCTGATTGTGTTACCTTAGGCAAGAAGGTTTTAGAGGCTCCAACTTTATTTATTTATCTAAATTACAAAAAAATAATAATTCATCCAGATAATCTCAGACAAAAGCAAGTTCTCACTTATTTCATTCCACGGAATGAAAAGGGTTAGCTTGCTTAAGCTACACCTCGAATTCTGTCTTGGTTTCTCTGCAAAACAACAAAACTTTCAAGAAAGCCTCCCTGAAGCCTTGCAGAACAGAGCCGTGCAATTAGCCATCAATCCCTTTGAAGTTCAAAATTCTTTTAAAAAGTTTGCTCCCTTTGAAGAACTGAACAGATAAAAGGCTTAAGTAACTGGAATTGGTCATTTCCTGATCAAGTGTTACTGTGGAGGAGTAGATTAAGAAGGTGCATCCTAATTTATTATCATTCAACCTCTGGAAAGGGTATCTCACATTGACTCGAAGCCCTCCTGATTATGACTATGACATATTTCATGGGCAGGTTGAAAAACAAAGGCTGCAACTGTTCAAAACATATGTTTGATACATATTTAACCTAGATTTTAACGACTGCTGCTGCTGCAAGTATTCTTATACAGCTTTTCAGTGTCTGTTCACATCTATCCTTGCAACTGAATTACAAGTGGATTTGTTGTTGTTTAGTCATTTAGTCGTGTCCGACTCTTCGTGACCCCATGGACCAGAGCACGCCAGGCACTTCTGTCTTCCACTGCCTCCCGCAGTTTGGTCAAACTCATGCTGGTAGCTTCAAGAACACTGTCCAACCATCTTGTCCTCTGTTGTCTCCTTCTCCTTGTGCCCTCCATCTTTCCCAATATCAGGGTCTTTTCCAGGGAGTCTTCTCTTCTCATGAGGTGGCCAAAGTATTGGAGTCTCAGCTTCAGGATCTGTCCTTCCAGTGAGCACTCAGGGCTTATTTCCTTAAGAATGGAGAGGTTTGATCTTCTTGCAGTCTATGGGACTCTCAAGAGTCTCCTCCAGCACCATAATTCAAAAGCATCAATTTTTTAACAAGTGGATTAGATACATATTTGAGGCCACCCATTGTGGAATCTGAACCAAGGGCTTTTCCAAAAGAGTTTCTATAGTACCATATCATTGTAGGTGTTTTATTCAACAGCTAAGTAGGCATTAGGTCATAAAGTAGCCCTTCTGCTGTGCGTTATTAAATTTTTTCAGCAACCAAAGCCTCATATTTTGTCAGCAAGTCATTATAAGACTTGCCCCCAGCTACTTGTTTTTATTGCTATAGTAAAGTGTATGACTGCACCTATTGGGCAATGCCTGTGATGTCACTACTGACAGATACCACATACCATTCACATAATGCAACCTTCTACTTTTGTGCCCAGGGCATTTTGTGAACTTTCTATACTAGTAAGTTTAATTTAAAATTTTTGATTGGTGGACACATTCTTCCCCCCCCCCCCCAATTTTTTTTTTACAGTGGTACCTCGGGTTAAGTACTTAATTTGTTCCGGAGGTCCGTACTTAACCTGAAACTGTTCTTAACCTGAAGCACCACTTTAGCTAATGGGGCCTCCTGCTGCTGCCGCGCCGCCGGAGCACGATTTCTGTTCTCATCCTGAAGCAAAGTTCTTAACCTGAAGCACTATTTCTGGGTTAGTGGAGTCTGTAACCTGAAGTGTATGTAACCTGAAACGTATGTAACCCGAGGTACCACTGTATTCATTTTATAACACAAATAAACAGCACAAACAGGAAAACAATCAATAGAAACAGATTCTTGTCTTATTCTTATTTTTTCTAAACATTGTTAGGTGGGCTTCCCCAAGTCCCCCCTATCTGATTTTCGTTTTACTGGTGGACACATTCTTGTTATGCCTTAAAAAGCAGTAAAGTGCCACCTTCTTCTGCTCCTTGCCTGGTCATTTTCTGAACCTTTTTGTCCTTTTTTGAAAAACATTTGCTTGCTAGATGGATAGTGTCTGGTTATGAAAAACCAGAGTGCTCATTCAGATCAGTTTGCAGGACAAAGAAGAAGAAGAAGAAGAAGAAGAAGAAGAAGAAGAAGCAATCCCAGCACTGTGGCTGAGCCCCATCACCCTTTAGCAAGATATGTCCATCTCCCGAGCTGTTATTTGGAGTCAAGATATTCCACTAGGGGCTAACCCATATATATTACCCACAGACTTCCCATGTTTTGTGTGGCCATGTGGTCTGCTGAGTGCAGACTGAAAAGTGGTTGAAGCAATGAATGGCATTCTTAGCTTAGGATAACGAGCTACATCCCAGCCGTCCAAAAACCGGAGGCTTCTACCACCCCCAAATCCTTCCATCCTCCATTCAGACAAGTGAGAGGAATTATCATAGTCCAAGAACACATTTCACCTGGGCAAAAGAACTCGAGGAGGGCTCAGAGCAGAACCAATGTCACTTGTGGAGAGTGTCACTTGTGGAGAAAGGATGTGGTCTGGGAATGAGGGATGACTATGGAAGAGTCCTAGGAAGAAAAAGAAGAAGAAGAAGAAGAAGAAGAAGAAGAAGAAGAAGAAGAAGAAGAAGAATTTGGATTTGATACCCCACTTTATCACTACCAGAAGGAGTCTCAAAGCTGCTAACATTCTCCTTTCCCTTCCTTCCCCACAACAAACACTCTGTGAGGTGGGTGGGGCTGAGAGACTTCAGAGAAGTGTGACTAGCCCAAGGTCACGCAGCAGCTGCATGTGGAGGAGCAGGGAAGCGAACCCAGTTCACCAGATTACGAGTCCACTGCTCTTAACCACTACACCGCACTGGAACCAGACAGAGAGAACTGGAAGGTTGCATTTGGCCTGTGACGCTAAGCTTCCCCACCCCAATGAAGTTTATTCCCATAAGCTTGGATGACTGGCTAAGAATTTACTCCCTTGTAAGCTCTATATTTTCCTCAGAACTGAACCTGAGTCCTCTTACATTTCTCAGTGCCTTCAGCAAGTTAAAACTATTGGGGGGCGGGTGCTCAAATAATTTTGCTGCCGGAGGATTTATTGCAGCTCAGTTTGGTGGCATTCCAATGGTCGAGTGTTTCTCTTTCCAGTAGGAAGGATTAGAAATTTATGATACCTGGTTCTAAGGGGTGGATCGATAGATACATAAATGTGTCTTGTGTACTAGAATGTATATTATGCACTTGATAATTGAATACTGTGTAGTACACTGAATCCTGCTTTGTGGAACCTGAGTGTAGCAGTAGGTAGCAAAAAAATTAAAAAAATAAATCAGTTGTTTATCATGGCATGCTACTTTTGGACACATGTCCTCAAGGCACCTCTGTTATGGGGGTGGGGGGTGATTTTCCTGAAAGGCGGTGCAGCTCTAGAGATAATACTGCCTGGGTAGATAGTGATGGCAGGGATCCTATGGAATTGTGATGAAAGACAAAAGGAAAGCAAAAAATGGCCGCAGGCAAAGCTATCCCCGTTTTCCTTCATTTTCTTTTCAACAACAGCAATATCATGCAGCAGTCTGAAGACAGGCAGGTAGCGGGAACAGATGAGCAGATGTGAAAGAGCAGACGCATCATTGGATCATTATTACAAATGGGTTTCATGATGTGCTTGTTCTCGTCCACCTGTCTGCTGCGTGTGACTGGCTTAGCGTTGAGTCAGAGCTACACACAAGAGAAGTAAGAGATGAGCTATTCAGGCAGATGGCTGCGTATGAGGGAAAATGGGAGGGGGAACAAAGCATCTTCCCAAAGAAATTCGCCTTTCAGTGCTCGTTGTAACAAATGCTGTTCTTTTCCCTCATGACAGGCCCTGCCGTTGGGCAGAGTGAGGCAGTTGCCTTAGGTGGCAAATGCCTTAGGTGGTGGGAGAAAAGTAAGCCATTCAGGCAGTTGCTTGTTTATAGTAGGGTGAAGAGACTAACCATTTCCCCAAAGGTTTGCTTTTCAATTCTCATAATGTGGTCCCTGTCCCTCAGGACCAGCCCTGCTGTTGGGCAGTGTGTGCCATCTGCCTCTGGCAGCATATGTTGAGGTGTGTGGAGAGTGAGTTGTAGTGAGGTGTTGGAGAACAGTGCTATATGTACCTTGTAGCTTGCCCTTGAAAGATTCCATCAACGGTGTCTCTGGAAAATTTTACACATCACTTGGGAAGACAGGCAAACTAATGCCAGTGTACTGGAAGAAGCAAAGTGTCGAAACAATGATTCTTCAACATCAAAGTGGTTGGACTGGCCATGTTGTTTGGATACCTGATTATCATCTTCCAAAGCAACTGCTCCATTCCGAACTTAAAAATGGAAAGCATAATACTGGTGGTTAACAAAAGAGGTTTAAAGACTCTCCCAAGGCAAATCTAAAAAAATGTAATATAAACAGCGACAACTGGGAAACACTGGCCTGGTAGCGCTCCAGTTGGAGAACAGCCTTTACCAAAGGTGTCATGGGCTTTGAAGACGCTCAAACTCAGGACGAAAGGGAGAAAGTTGCTAAGAGGAAAGCACGCTTGGCAAACCTTCACCCTGATCAACTGCCACCCGGAAACCAATGTCCCCACTGTGGAAAGATGTGTGGATCCAGAATTGGCCTCCACAGTCACTTACGGACTCACTGTTAAAACCATGTTCATGGAACACAATCTTACTCGGCTATGAGTGAACGCCACATAAGAAGAAGCCCTGTGCCCTCTGAAGTAATGGAATACAGTCATACCTTGGGTTACAGATGCTTTGGGTTGCACGATTTTGGGTTGCGCACTGCACCAAACCGGAAGTACCGGAACGGGTTACTTCCAGGTTTTGGTGCATGCACCGAAGCGCCGAATTGCAACCCGCACATGCGCAGATGCGGCACTGCAGGTTGCGGACGCTGCAGGTTACGAATGTGCTTCCTGCACTGTTTACGTTCGCAACCTGAGTGTCCACTGTATGTTGAATCCATTTTCAACTGCTGGTCCAGTCAGCTTTGTACATTAAATGGGAGGGGTAACTTGTTCATTGCCTCAGTTAGCAAGAGTCCCCTGTGCCTGTTTACCCTTCCCATCCCCACTGCCACAACCTTTAAGCCTTTGAAAGACGTGGCTTCTAATAATAATAATAAACGTTTCTGTTGTTGTGTTGCTGGATTGCTTGTTGTTTTGAATTTATCTCGTTCTCTCACTAAAATGGATTCAACATCTCCGATGAGGCTGTGGTGTACATAGAAGGATATAGCTGTTCCGCCCTTCTGTGAGCAACTGGTATAATCTTAAGATCTCCTTTGACAATTAATGTCTCTGTAATTCCAATGAGGTTTTAAAGATTGGGAAAAGAGCTTTGTAAGACTGGAGATGGACATTTGTTATTATTGTTTATATGCACAGGAGGAAATCATTCCATCCACATCCCCGTCTGTCATCAGTATACGGGGATTTGCCTCAGGGGAGTACAGAGTGGTTCAGCTTTCTTATCGGGAGAATCCTTGGTGGGACTGCTGAAGTGTTTAATGGAGGGGAAAATTAACATCTGAGTTGCAGCTGATTTTGTGACATGCAGCTGCCCACTACAGATGTGACTTGCTTTGCTATTACGTCTTGTTTAAAGGTAAAGGTAAAGGTAAAGGTAAAGGTAAAGGTACCCCTGACTGTTAGGTCCAGTTATGGACGATTCTGGGGTTCCACACCCATCTCGCTCTAAAGGCCGAGGGAGCCGACGTTTGTCCGCAGACAGCTTCCGGGTCATGTGGCCAGCATGACTAAGCCGCTTCTGGCGAACCAGAGCAGTGCACGGAAACGCTGTTTACCTTCCCGCCAGAGCGGTACCTATTTATCTACTTGCACTTGACATGCTTTTGAACTTCTAGGTGGGCAGGAGCTGGGACCGAACAATGGGAGCTCACCCCGTTGCGGGGATTCGAACCGCCGACCTTCTGATCGGCAAGTCCTAGGGGCTGTGGTTTAACCCACAGCTCCACCCACGTCCCATGGGGTATGGTAGGACGTCCCTAGTTTCGTTGGCAAAATTTTGGAGGGTATGAAGTTATGTGATCCTTAAGCCATCTGAAGGCAGCCCTGTATTGGGAAGTTCTTTAATGTTTAATGTTTTATTATGTTTTTATATATGTTTGAAGCTGCCCAGAGTGGCTGGGCCAATCCAGTCAGATGGCTGGAGTATTCAGTTTCCTTTAAAGCCCTCTTCATGTATTATATGTGTAAAGCGGTCCACATGATTAAGTATCCTGTCTGTTTCCCTGATGTCCAAGCACACTATGAGGGGGAAGCCTATTTGCCTAGATCTCTTCCCAAGCGAGCTGCTCTCTAGAGATGTCCACATCCGATGAAATGATAACTAGCATGGAGCCCTTCACATTCATTCACTGCATGCAGATACATACTTTTGGAAGCTTACCAGATTTTTCAATGTGGACTCATTGTTCCTGGAAGGTGGAAAGTTTGATAGCTGCTGCCTTGGTTAATATGTTTCTCCCTTCTCCAGTTCAAGAAATAAATGCAAACGCTGGCCTATATCTGTTCTGGCCACCATCATGTTTTCTTTGGTGAAGGAGATCTGTTTCTGACAAGATATGCCACCACCTCTGCTTCGGTTGTGAAATCTATTTCTATCCGTTTGTTCGTTTGTAAATATTTGTTCACACCAGCTGGTTCCCCTTTCATTCTTCCGATTTGCTGGCTGCAAAAAAATGGCAGTTTACATTGTGCACATAGCTCTCTCTGCCTCAACAATGTTATCATCCGAATGCAAGCCGCTTGCCTGTGAATTAGGCCTCTGTGTTGCTTGTTCCCGTCTTAACAAACGCTTCATCTTTGCCTGCCTGTAATTGTGACAGAATGAAATTGGTGTTTAGGAACCTGTAATATTAGATTCTAGTAACCCAACAGACAGCTAATGGCTGCCACCTCTGTTTAACGTAATGACACTAATGAATTCTGAGGGTTACTTTTCAGCTAGGAAAACATGATGGAAGGTGCTGGAATTTCAAATTAGGTGATGGATTTGCCTCCGTTGAGGCCAATATGCGCAGCATTTGTTTCCTTTTCAGTATATTTTACTCATATTAACAATGGTCATCCACCATTAGGGCAAAACAGAACCATAATATTAGTCAATGGGAACATTTGTTAAAGTGACAGTTAAGGTGCAACTCTTTAAGGTGCAACTTCAAGTACTACTGTTAAATCTGCTGCCTTAGGAGCAGTTAGAAGTTATTGTCCTCTCATCAGTGTTGAAGAAAGAATCGAAGGCCAGGCCAATTGGCTTCCATATGTGGAATGGTAGGGACACCATTGTGTCCTTCACCTCAGGAAGCAAAATGCCTCGGGCTGGCCTTGTTCCCTTGTAGATGGAACAGAACTTCTCCTTTGTGAGCTGACACACAGTCCCATCAGTTGGTGTCGCTGAGGTGATCTGGGATAGTTCTCTAGAGCAGGCATCCCCAAACCCGGCCCTCCAGATGTTTTGGGACTATAACTCCCATCATCCCTAGCTAACAGGACCAGTGGTCAGGGATGATGGGAACTGTATTCCCAAAACATCTGGAGGGCCGAGTTTGGGGGTGCCTGCTCTAGAGCTATATATTATTGATTCCATATGTTACTTTTCATTATAAGGCTAGCAATGCTGTGGGCTTTCAAAATATGTTTTGGGGGAAATGGTTTTGGGAAATACGTCATTTTAAGAAACCTAGAATGCTAAACCTTAGAAATCTCCCTGGTCTAGGGCTTCTTCAGTACATAAAAAATACGTCCAGCTTATCTTTGAACAAGAGGAAAGTTCCTAATGACTGTGGTTGTGCTGCCCTATATTTAGCAGTGCCATCTCATAAAATAGCATGCTTTGTAACCTTAACAATTGCTGATGTGATGCTGGCTAGGTTGGTTTGAGAATGGTACATTAAATTAATCTCCTCTGAAAGAATTGGAGACTGGGTGCTAGATTGGTTTAAGGGGGAAGAGTGGCAGCTGCTTTGGATATTGAAAGAGTTTGCCCCTCTCTGGATCCACCCCTGAGTTCTAAAGTCTCCTCAGTAGGACACCCTAAAACCACCGTCTGGGCTACAGAACTTATCAAGGGGATCCAGAGCTCAGTGCAAGTAGGTTCCTTAAGATATCTACAAACTTTTAACTCAAATAGCAGCTATTCCCTTTGCTCGAGGCTGGCCCAGACATTAGGCGAGGTGAGCCCACTGCCTTAGGTGGCCGAAGCCCCTGAGGCAGTGTCCCCAAGGGCACCTGCCATCTCCGCCACCATTGGAGATAAGAAACTGGCGTTGGTCCCGATTTCTGGTGAGATCTTGCGGAGTGTGTGAGATCACACCTGAAATAGATGCTGCTGCCGGCACGGCTTCTCCCCTGGCGATATAGGCAGCGGGGCAGGTGGCAGCAGAAGCAGGGAATAATAATAATAATAATAATAATAATAATTTATTATTTGTACCCCGCCCATCTGGCTGGGTCTCTCCAGCCACTCTGGGTGGCTTCCAACAAAGATTAAAAATACATTAAAATACATTAAAAAATTCCCTGAACAGGGCTGCCTTCAGATGTCTTCTAAATGTCAGGTAGTTGTTTATCTCTTTGACATCTGATGGGAGGGCATTCCACAGGGTGGGTGCCACTACCGAAAAGCCCCTCTGCCTGGTTCCCTGTAGCTTTGCTTCTCGCAGTGAGGGAACTGCCAGAAGGCCCTCGGCGCTGGACCTCAGCGTCTGGGCAGAACGATGGGGGTGGAGACGCTCCTTTGGGTATACTGGGCCAAGGCCCTTCCTGTTTCATCTCAAATGGCAAAAGAGGATCCGCTGCCACTGCTTTTATCCCAAGGAGTTCTGGGGATTGTAGTCTTGTAGGAAGGTAAAAGGTAAAGGTACCCCTGCCCGTACGGGCCAGTCTTGCCAGACTCTAGGGTTGTGCACTCATCTCACTCTATAGGCCGGGAGCCAGCGCTGTCCGCAGACACTTCCGGGTCACGTGGCCAGCGTGACAAGCTGCATCTGGCAAGCCAGCGCAGCACACAGAACACTGTTTACCTTCCCTCTGGTAAGCGGTCCTGGGGGTGCTTTCGAACTGCTAGGTTGGCAGGCGCTGGGACCGAACGACGGGAGCGCACCCCACCGCGGGGATTCGAACCGCCAACCATACGATCGGCAAGTCCTAGGCGCTGAGGTTTTACCCACAGCGCCACCCGCGTCCCTGTTGTCTTGTAGGAAGAGGAGCTACTAATTCTCAGCCTCACTAAACTACAAAACCCAACATTCTTTGGGGAAAGCCACAATGGTTGCTCTCAGGTCCTGCTGGCACACTTCTCATGGGCATCTTGTTAGAGCTGTATTCAACTAACCTGGCCTGCTAATGGAAGCCAGTGCGATGGTTTCTGTTAATAGGGCTTCCCCCTTTCCCTTGTGCATCCCTGCCTCTCCCAAACCCTCTCTGGAGAATCAGGAAGAACCCACAGAACAGCATGTTGGAGGAGGAGAGAGGGAATTGTTCCACCTGGCAAGCAGAAACGCTTGCGCCGACAGAATGAAGGAAGAGTGTGATGTCGAATTCCTTCCATGGTAATGGAGAAATCAAGATTTTTGCATCACATCATGAAACCATTTATGATCTCAGCTACTGCAGGTGAAGGTTTTCCTCCTTCATGGTTTCCAATGCTAAGCAAGCTCTGGTATTCTAGGCAGCGTAGAGAGAAGAGCTATAGCTGAAACGTGTATGCACAGCACTGTTCAAATGGGTTCGCTTTTCGTACTGGCCTTTAATTCTAGGAAGTCGTCATAAAGAACCAGTTGCGCCACTAAAAACGGGCCATTTTCAATTGCCTTGCTGTTTTCTCTTACTGTAGCTGGCGGTTGGTATTTAGTGAGTCTCTCGCCTTTTCTACGAAGGGAGGATATAAACTTGGAAGAGAGACTGACAAGCATAATATTTTTTAGATGGGGCCACAGTGACTTTTTCCTTTTTTTAAAATGATGGGTGAGAAAACAAAAGAAACACAGAACCTATAAAAGCCAAATGACTGATTTCTTTCCATGGGAGGGCAGGAGTGGTATTTATAACCTCTGCAGGAGGATAGATATAAGGTGGTTTTTGTTGCTTTAGCTTTGATATCAGGAGGCTCCAGTTCACAGGGGATACTAGAGTCTCTTGCTCGTTTGTAAAACAGAATGTTTTCTAGGCTTTGCTTTGAAGTATACAGAAGAGCTCTGTAGAACCAAATATTTTTGAAAGGTATTTCAACAGGCAGGTGTTACTTAAGGATGATTCCTTAAAATAACAGAGGCTGGGCTTAGTGTCGTGAGTATATTTTGTCCTTTTCTTACTAATGAAATAATTACAGGTGTTATGTTGATTGTGTGTGTGTGTGTGTGTGTGTGTGTAAAACACTACATTGTCACTGATGCTGATCACCTGATGAACTTTTAAAATATGCTGTTTTATTGCCCGGCTGTGTAAAATGGCTCTCATTGTTTGTCCCAAAGCAGTTTTAAAAGTGTTTATGTGAAAACGATTGCTTCACAGGGCATTGGTAAATCTGAAATATAGAATTAAACATGTGAATCTGAAAAGGCGCAGCCAAACAAATTCAGTTCAGAGTGGAACTAATATGAAACTCTTGAAAACTATAGGGTAGGTTCAGGAAATATTTAACATGGTGCATTAGAGCTTATATTCTCTTGGTTCTCAAATGGTTCTCTAATACGACTGAACCAAATCAAGTTTAACAAACTAATGTGATCAGACATAATAGGGTGTGTGCTTAAAAAGAATTTTTCTGACTCTTCCGTACATTTCTATATTTAGAACACATTATTTTTGCTTAATCTGAAGCCATGTTATTCTGAATTCTAGCATCTTTTATGCCTTGCCAATTGCACAGTGTCAAGTTTTATAGTTAGAATGTGTTCAGACCTTCAAAGCTCTCTGCCTTGTAGTGCTACTTAGCAATGAACTATTCTTTTCTGATAGTTTCTTTTATTAAGCCATTTATTTATATTGATAAACTAATTGAGAAGCCTCCAGACTGAGCTGAAGCTAGTCATCCCTGAAGTTAGTTATGACTGACATGTTAACATTCTTTTCTGTGACACTTTTATCTCAGATAACAGTAGCAAGATTAGGACCTCTGCCTGCAATTACAGCTAAGCATCACAGTGTCTGTGTTTCCTTTAAAATATAATGCCAAATAATTATGGTCAGTTTTGGCTGGCTTGTTTCATTCAACCAACACCTACAGTAGTCACCTCACTCAGTTATCATTCAATAATACATGTGAACAATGGGTTATAAAATTGCTACTAAAATATTTCTAAACCTAATGGTCTTGGCAGTAAGAGCTGCTCAACAGTGGAACAGACTCCCACAAGAGGCGGTGGAATCTTTCCTTGGAGATTTTTAAGTAGAGGTTGGATGGCCACCCATCTTGTATGACCTACCGTATTTTTCGCTCCATAAGACGCACCTGACCATAAGACGCACCTAGTTTTTAGAGGAGGAAAACAAGAAAAAAAATATTCTGAACAAAACAGTGGATGCATGATTTTTGTGGTTCCTGCTGTGGCCACAAGACATTTGATCTGATGCTGAATTTGGGGTGACCCAATGCAAAAATCCTGAGGAAGCATGTGGATCCGTGCCTTGTAACCACGTTTTTGCGCCATTGCGGCCCCACACAACAGTGGGTGTGTGGTTTTTTTGGTGCAGGCTGTAGCCATAGACATGTTATGTGATCTGATGGTGAATTTGGGGTGACCCAGTGTAAAAATCCTGAGGATCCATGGGCTTTTACCTCCCCCCTTCCAGGCAGCCTCTGCATCCCTTATCTCTCTTCCGATCCCACTGATCAGCTGTTTCCTTTCAACACTCCCTTCCCTCTTGTTTTTCTTAGTGTCTTTTCCTTAGCTGGAGCAGTTTTTTGCTCCTCATTTTCTTCTAATTTCTCTCTTTATTGCTTTAGTTTTCCTGTTTCCCCCCTTTGCAAGTTTGCTGTCTTTACCTCCCCCCTCCCAGGCAGCCTCCTTTATCTCTAGCGTCCCTTATCTCTCTCCCCGATCGGCAAACATTCAGCAGCTTTGTTTCAACATCCACTTCCCTCTTTCAAAAAAGAAAGCACGATCTGCTTTTTGGCCCTGGGCAATTCGGCTCCAGGGACCACGCATTCACTCCATAAGACGCAGAGATATTTCCCCTTACTTTTTAGGAAGAAAAAAGTGCGTCTTATGGAGCGAAAAATACGGTAGTTGAGATTCCTGCCCTTGGAATCCCTTCCAACTCTATGATTCTATGACATGAGCTGTAATGTTGCACTCTGTATTCTTAAAGGGTATGGGTGATACCAATTTGTGCTCACCTGCGAGTGGAATGGATTTCCATGAGCAGGACGGGACTCCCCCCTCCTTTCCTCCCTGCGGTAGCCTATCCCATACCCCCAGAATATACACGGACTTCTGCTTGGGGAATGTCAGAAATCACCCAATATTTTATCCAGATTTTGTACTTTTTAAGTATAGTGCTGCATGTTAGTGACTCTGTTGAGATGCTTGTTCCCACGTATAAGACACCCAAATATTTCACACATTATAAAAGTCTGTATCCAAAAGCAAAATAGCAAAAATCCACACTGGGTATTTAAGCTGAGTAATTGTAATCTGTTTGGGTATTTTAGATTTTGTATGTTTTATATATGTACCGTATTTTTCCGTGTATAACACGACCCCTATTTTTTGGGACTCCAAATAAAGAAATCCCCCATATGCACTATCTGTGTATAAGACGACCCCCAGTTTTAAACTTGAAAAAATAGGGGGGGAAATACAGTCTTATACATGGAAAAATATGGGGTATGTGGGTGTGGGTGTGTAGTTTATTTATTTGGTTTTTCAGATTAAAATTTTACACATAGCCAACAAACAAATAAAAGCAAGATTCCAAGGAATCTCCTGGACTTCCCTACTCCTCTTTGTGGGTTCTGTTGTTAATCATTTCCTCCTGCATCTTTTATGATAATCCAAATCTTTTACCTCTCCATTGTGTCCAAAATTTGCCATTAAACTACAAGTGATATTCCAATCCTACTAACGATCTTAACTGTGTATGATGGTCTTTAAGAGAAGTTATAAATTTTCCCCATTCCTTATTGAAATTTTGGTCTTCGTGATTTCTGATTCTTCCGGTCATTTTAGCCATTTTGGCATAATCCATCAACTTGACCTGCCATTCTTCTCTGGTAGGGACTTTATCTTCTTTCTATCTCTGGGCCTAAATCTTCTATGTTTTAAAGTAGGGTTGCAAAAAAATATTTTAAAATCCCCTAGATTTTTTTTTAAAACTGTTTTATCTTTTGTAAACTGCTTTGTGACCTTTTACGATCAAGTGGTGTGTAAATTTATTTGAAATAAATACAGTGATACCTCGGGTTAAGTACTTAATTCGTTCCAGAGGTCCGTTCTTAACCTGAAACTGTTCTTAACCTGAAGCACCACTTTAGCTAATGGGGCTTCCTGCTGCCGTCACGCCGCTGGAGCAGGATTTCTGTTCTCATCCTGAAGCAAAGTTCTTAACCTGAGGTACTATTTCTGGGTTAGCGGAGTCTGTAACCTGAAGCGTATGTAACCTGAGGTACCACTGTAAACAGTTTTTAACAGAACTGAATGCTTGTGTCCATCTATGTATAAGTAACTTAACTGCTGCATTTTTCAGGTGCCTAATCAAGGACTTCGAAAAACGCCCATCTGTCACTCACCTTTTGGAACATCCCTTCATAAGACAGGTCCATGGCAGAGACATGGCACTCCAAAAACAGCTGGCAGATCTCATTCAAGCACAACAACATTTAGGCTCCGTAGCCAAGACAAGGTACTGTTCAGTTTCGCTATAGCCGTACTACAAAGTTCCATAAATTTATGACTTTTAATTGTGAGACATATATTGCTTATGCAGATATCATATAATGCCTTAAAGCTTTTTGCCCTGGTACAGCAAGTAGGATCAGTGTGCCCCAACTGAAGGAACATCGCAATGGGCATTCCTGTCGATGATGCTCATCTCAGCTGCCCTTGAATCAGCTAGAAGCATCTTGGTGGGGCTGCATTGCCTCATCTGGAGCCACCAGTTCTTATGTATAACAGGTTTACCCATAACTAAAGGTAAAGGTAAAGGTACCCCTGCCCCTACAGGCCAGTCTTGCCAGACTCTAGGGTTGTGCGCTCATCTCACTCTATAGGCCGGGAGCCAGCGCTGTCCGCAGACACTTCCGGGTCACGTGGCCAGCGTGACAAGCTGCATCTGGCGAGCCAGCGCAGCACACGGAACGCCGTTTACCTTCCCGCTGGTAAGCGGTCCCTATTTATCTACTTGCACCCGGGGGTGCTTTTGAACTGCTAGGTTGGCAGGCGCTGGGACCGAACGACGGGAGCGCACCCCGCCACGGGGATTCGAACCGCCGACCATGCGATCGGCAAGTCCTAGGCGCTGAGGTTTTACCCACAGCGCCACCCGCGTCCCGCGTCTAGTTACCCATAACTAGAGCTGCTATATTGTTCTAATTATTATGGATCCTTACATACAGGAATTACAACATTCCATATAAATGGAGAGCTTCAAGGCAGCGGAAAACAACTTTCTCATTCATGTCTTTTAATCGCATTCAGCCGTAATGGAAGCATCACATTTCAGTAGTTTCTTGGATTTACTGCTAAGACAAACAATGGCATGCAAGTGTTCATTAATTAATAAATGAACTCTTAGCAGGGAACATGCTCATGTTTTGTGATTTTCGGAAGGGCAGAAGATTCAAAATGTGAATAATAAAGTGAGAGTGGTGAAACGTTAAGAGTCCGAACCTTGATGTTTTGGTTCACCATTGGCCTAATATTACCACTAGTATTCGTATATAGCTGGGTACTTAATATTCATCAGGAAAACCTTCTTTTCCCGTCCAATCTAGGGCTAGCTGCAGGGAATATCTCTTGGTTTCATGGCTGTCCAGAGGGTGGCAGGATTTCGCTGTTTTCAAAGTGAATTTAAATGCAAATGAAGGCTCTTCGTCTGCTCTGCAATCATTTCGTAATATGAAATTCGTCTGGCTGCTCGATAAGCTGTAAACCATTATTGTAAATAAATACCTGCTAATGTTGATGAAGAAAATTAAATGTCATGATTCATAAGTCATAAAAATGTATGTGCATATCCAGCCAGAGTGAATGTGTTATTTGAAAACCAAACCAAAGGCCTTTAAAAAAAATATCTTTAAAAACAAAGTAATAGATGCAGTTTCAAGGTGAGTGTGACTTTCCTAATTTCACTGCAACTGGAATTATTCCACATGCTTCTAAAGCAAGGGTCTAGAATGGTCAGACTTGCTTCAGAAGGCTGGTCTTTTATGTTTCTTTTCCATCTCCCCCTCCTTGTTTTTAAGTAAACTGTCTTATGAATTCTCTCCCTGTTGATGGCTGCCGTTTGCAATTTCAAAAGAAAAAAGCCTGCCATAAGGGGCAAACTTGGCTGCTGCGCCAAACACTAATGAAAAACATAGACACGTGATTCCACACTCAGATAGAGAAAATAAAAGAGTCTGAGTGCATGCTGGCCACATTTCTCGTTTCATAATCTTTTTTGAGAGTTATACCTATATGGATGATAAAAACCCACTTGTTTGCTGTAAGAGGCCTGGTCTGTGCACCAGCAGAATAGAGAGAACTCTGAGGTGGAAAAGTGACCTGTGTCACTTCAGACTGCAATGGGTGAATATCATTGCTATAATGAGGTATAGTTGTCTGTGGCTAGCTAGGTGCTATACTGAATACAATGTCTGGAGAGGCTTGTTCAGTGGTGCAGGTAGGTAATTTTAGACTCCGCATTTAACTGTCATATTCTCCCCTCCTTTAGATGGCAATGTGCACTACTACTTTCTTCAAAATACAGTAAGCTTGCATCTTGGGAGGTCCTGGGCCACAGGGAGGTTAGGCTGGCCTCAACCAGAGCCAGGGCTTTTTCGGCTGTGGCCCCAATCTGGTGGAACGCTCTGTCACAAGAGACTAGGGCCCTGCGGGACTTGACATCTTTTCACAGGGCCTGCAAGACAGAGCTGTTCCACCAGGCCTTCGGCCAAGGCACAGTCTGACCTCCTCCTTTGGTAATCTTCATAGAACTCTAGGCCAATGGTTGCCACTAATTTGATTCTGAATTGATTTTAGAATGAAATGATTTTAGAATGTATTTCAAGTAATTGATTGTGATTTTATGTAAACTGTGTTACGTTTACTGTTGTTAGCCGCTCTGAGCATGGCTTCAGCTGGGGAGGGCGGGATATAAATAAATTATTATTATTATTATTATTATTATTATTATTATTATTATTGCTGTGTTTTGGGGACCTTCCTGCTCATTCTACTGAACAGATTCCTGGACTTCTGCTCCGACTGTCGGGGCGGAGGAAGGGGTGTGTGGTGGGGGCAGACCACCCCGGGTGTCATCGGTGAGGGGGGTGACATTTGGCACACCACCCGCCCGCAATTCCCAAGCCTACCCTGAGCCATTGGGGGAAGGGCGGGAGCTGCACCGCTTTGCCGGTGGCCTTCCCCCTTCGTTTTAACAGCTCAGGGGAGGCTTGGGAGTCGCGGAAGGCAACACGCCGAATGTCTACCATTGGCGGCTCACTCCGCCCCCGGCTGCAGTGCGCATGCACCGCTCCATGCACCCGAGCGACTATCCCGCACCCTCCGCTCCCTGCCCCCCTTGGGAGCACGCTCCGTTCCCCTCGGGAGCCTGCCTGTCCTGGGCAGTGCAGGCATATGCTCCACCGCGGCTGACTGTACCAGAGATTTTGTTCCTGTATAGGATCAGTTTGAGACATTATCATTCATTAGATGAATTGGAGGCTGAATACCTATTCCATGGGTAGGCAAACTAAGGCCCGGGGGCCGGATCCAGCCCAATCACCTTCTAAATCCGGCCCGCGGACGGTCCAGGAATCAGCGTGTTTTTATATGAGTAGAATGTGTCCTTTTATTTAAAATGCATCTGTGGGTTATTTGTGGGGTCTGCCTGGTGTTTCTACATGAGTAGAATGTGTGCTTTTATTTAAAATGCATCTCTGGGTTATTTGTGGGTCATAGGAATTCGGGTTTTCCTCCCCTTCAAAATATAGTCCGGCCCACCACGTGGTCTGAGGGACAGTGGACCGGCCCCCTGCTGAAAAAGTTTGCTGACCCCTGACCTATTCCATTCCAGAACCAGGGTTCATTAAAGGCCAGGGCTATGAATGGTTCATCGTGTATGCGCTAGCCCAGTGATTCTCAAACGGTTTTCTTTGGATCACACTTTCAGATTAAAAACTTGCTCGTGCTGCACTGAATTTTTTTTATCGATAAGAAATATGTTGAAAAACTGGAAGTGGCAACTCCTAGCAGTGCTTGATTTATAACATAGAACACAACTGCTTTATAATATGATTCTGGGACACCCAGAAAGTATTAAACATTGCAGCTACAGAACAACATGCCATTCCCAAAATATAATATTGATTGCCCTTGAATTTTCCCGCCGCATTTGCCATCCTCTTCTGCCACACAAGTGTGGTGCGCCACACCCTTTGAGAACCACTAAGAGCATTTCGGCCCATAATACAGAGCTGCCATGGCTTTAGAATTCAGAGCCAAACTACATTACCCTAAACTCCACTTGATGTATTTGTGCTGAACTATGCCATTTCAGACTGCAAAGAGAGCAGTGAAAGTTGCAGTAATTTCATACAAACACAAAATTAGCATGGTAAGGGGAGATTATGACAGTGTTCAGAGAAAGAAAGAAAGAAAGAAAGAAAGAAAGAAAGAAAAGAAAACAGCCATTTGTGTTCTGAAGTGAGAAGAGGCCAGCAATAGTCACATTATACAATGCTGCTGACCACAATACATGATACATTCATGCGCATGAGAGCTGTTCAGTGTTTTATTTATTGTTTGTGACTATTTTTGTTATATTGCTCAAGGCAGCTTACATAATTACAATATAACAAAAAACAGTCATAAACAATAAATTAAACACATCAATAATTTCAACAAAATTGAACAATGTCCACATTAAATCATAATAAAATCTAAAAAATAAAGATGCAAAATAATAATAATGCAGCAGCAACAACAACAAAGCCTCTAAACAACATCCCAACCCAAGAGTCTGTTCAGCAGCCTCAGCTTTTGTAGCTGGAGTCAGTCAGGGCCCCACCATCCCAGGCCAGGTAGAAAAAGGCCTGCAAGGCAGGAAGCAGGTCTTCCAGGATTCACAGCCAAGATGGTCTCTCTTAAAAGCTGTTTCTCCCACAAACAGTAAATGATTCTCTGGCCACATCCACAATATTATATTGCAATATTGCAGTTATTTCTGACCTGCTTTGCAAGATATAACTCTTAGCAAGATGATCTTACAAGTAACATTCAGTCTTAGCCCAACAAAAGTTTGGCTCCCTAGAACAACAGCTAACACTACCTGCTGGTCCATGCTGGCTCTCTAGGCTGGCTCTCATCAGACAGCTTTTTAAAGAACAGCAGTCTGTCTCTAGCAGGGAGGTATTGCAGCTGGAGTCAATTCCATTACCAATCTGAATGCCGTTAGCTGCAAGAAACTAGCTTATGCCCAGCTTGTAATTTTCTTCATACACCCTGTTAGGACTCAGAGATAGCACCAGGCAAAGCTAAAAGGAATAGCAATTGGGTTGTAAAATGATGGGTGTGCAGAATTGAATGTGGTTTTAAAATGCAGTTTCCTCCACACATTGTCTGGGCGAATACCAGGGGACAGATTGCAGACCTGTAAAACCTACTGTGGGCAAGGAAGCAACCATTTTGCAGGCTGATTGCATTGTAAATGCTAATGATTACA